TTAAGTCTACAGAAGCTTTGATACCTCTGTATGGAGCTGGATAACAAGGGCCATTTTGGCTCACTGACTATCATTACAAAATAATGTATAGTATAATGCTTGGGAAATACTATTTTTATGGGAACTGTTGCTTTTAAATTAGTTGTCATCCTGATGTATTTATGTGATCATCTACATTTACACAAAGCTTACAAAATAGCATCCAAGAATTGAATCCATGGTGCTTTCTCCTTTATAGTTTTTATTAGTTTCCCACATAGCATCAAGAATAAATTTGAAAACAACTGGCATTTATAAAAGCTTTGAGAACTGTTAGCACTGATGGACAGAAGAATCTCATTATCATTATTGGAAAATTTGAAGAGGTTTTAATTTATTAACCATTTTTTTCCCCCCAGTTTCTTTCTCGGTTATTAGTTGTTTTATTATAAACATTTTTTTTTATTGCTTATGCAAAATAAAATAAAATAAATGTTTGACATTTGAAATTACCTTATCGAGATTCAATGAAATACTCTTGACTAGGAGCTGTCTGATTGTATTTTTATAACTTTTTAATTTAATATTTTTTATCAGCTTCAGATCTCATGTCTCTTAGGATATTATTGTGTTTCCCTATCACTTACTGATTACGTAACTTCTCCACTGATTAGTCTGAAATATCTCAGTGTAATATCTCATCTTTTTGATCGTTCACTATAGTATCTGTTAAGTTTGTTTTACTGATATCTATTGTGTTTATATGTTAACTGGAACAAGTGAAGCAAAACAATTGTTGGTCATTATTTTTAGAATGTACATTTTATCATTGCTAACACGGACAATTTATAATAAATCATTTTTTTTTTAAACAAAAAACAATTTTTATATTGGTTTTTTTTTTTTTTTTTTTATATGGTATGTTTTTGTGTTTTTTTACTAACTTAAAATTTCATAAATTTTTTTTTTTTATTTTTAGTATTTTTTTTTTTTTTTTTTTTTTTTTTTTTTTTTTTTATTTATTTTTTTTTTTTTTAATAAAAAATTTTTTTTATTTTTGTTTTTTTTTTTTTTTTTTTACATGGTATGTTTTTGTGTTTATGTACTAACTTAAAAATTCATAAGACTCTAATGTGCAGGTTATCATTTAGTAATAAACTGAGTTTTTTACATTGTGATTGCTCAAAGAAATCCAAATGTGAACAATTACAATTAAATATTACAAATTTTCTTTAAGTAGACTCTAAATTTACTCAAGCCTTAATTTTGTTGTTGATAATGCTGTAGAGCTCACAATATTCACTCTTTGCCGATCACATTGAGATGCTCTTCATCATCTTATACAATTGTTAAAAGTTCTTATTGATAATGATACTATTATAAATTATTGAAAGAACTTCTGGCTCACACCTTTTATATTTAATTCAGGGTATGTCAAAATAATTGATCTGCTTTAAACAAAATTGATGAGAGTTTATTCTTTGTTCAAATGTATGTATGTAAGGGAATTAATTTGAAAAAAATGCATCGTTCGCTTGTACAACACACATTTGGTTTTTGTTTACAGCACTCTTTCTAATCAATTTTTATTTTAAATTTATAAAGCATCTTAAAAGCTACAGTTGTTTACATTTCTACCTGTGGCAACACTAATCATCCATTAATTTAATATTTTTTAATACTTTCTTCAGTTACATTACAAGCTTGCTTGAAAAATTCCTCCAAATCTTCTATTTAAATATCAATGTTCAGACTCAAGATCATTGAACTAGCAATTATTGAACAAAACATTTACAAGGAAGACATTCTAGGCTTATAAAAATTAAAAAGATACTCTATTCTTTTAAAAATGTACTGTTCTTGTAGTGTGAAGTTTGTGTGTCTTTACATTGAGGGATGTTCAATCAGAATATCAGCTGCTGAGAGAAGCCAAGTTGTGGATGGGAATAATGAAAGTTAAGCTCAATTAATGTATTTGATTCTCTCTCTTAATTTGCAAACAAAATGTATGATAAGTCTAGTGTTCAAATAGTTTTGTGCATGACTTTTAGAGATCTCTTTTTATCATTATAACTGTTCAGAATTAGGGAAAAGGTCAAATAGCTTCTCTAAATTGTGTGTTTTTTTTTTTGTGTGGAGTATTGGCAGCAGTGTTTACTTGTGTGTACATGGTAGGATTGAGGTGAAGATGTATCAAAGCATTTTATTCTTTCTATATAATGGATTTTTTGGTCATATGAATTCATAACATAAAGGCATTAAAGCTACTAACAAAGCCAAATGTTAAGTGTAATCCTTTGATTAAATTGAGATTAAAATGGTGACATGTCCATGTTTGTCTTAAGAATTTGAAATAAAATATACACTAGTTAGACAAGAGTTTGTTTCTTAATTTTTTTTAAAAGGTGTTACCAACAAGAGGATGCATTAATGACTTTATGAGGTTAAGATAGTTACAAATGGTCATTTGAGAAATGTTAATTTGTTTCAGTAATAGAAGACACCCCCCCCCTCCCCCTTTTCAGAACAGGGAAGTGGGCTGAAGTTGTTAGGGTAGGAAAGAGGGAACAAGTTTTTAGACGGAAAGTGAGGAGCTCAAAGCTAATGCCCTAAACTATCAACACGTAGAAGTCAATAGTTAAAGTAGAGTGTCACCCTCCAGACATTAACACCCTTCCCGCCCTGCCATACACGATATGGGGGATAATTAATTTTTTTTTTTTAAATTGCTGGTGTAAAATAAACAATGTGCTCTATTGCTACATTTACAAAGAGATGTTAATAAATATTTTTTTTTTTATCAACAGAAAATTTAAGACAACTTATAATATCAAATGTGCCCCCTAGACCTTGATTTCTTCTAATGAACGTTATCACTGGCCTAACACTTTGCGAACTGGAGCAGTCTAAGCAAAAAAAAAAAAAAAAAAAAAAAAAACTGGAGTAAGGTAATGGGCAGTGCGGCAATAGGATTGTGGAAATGGGGAATGTGGCTATGAGGGGTATGGCAATGAGTGCAATGGGGAGTGTGGCTATGAGGGGTATGGCAATGAGTGCAATGGGGAGTGTGGCTATGAGGGGGTATGGCAATGAGTGCAATGGGGAGTGTGGCTATGAGGGGTATGGCAATGAGTGCAATGGGGAGTGTGGCTATGAAGAGTATCACAGTGTGGCTATGAGGAGTATGGCAATGGGTATTATGGCTATGAGGAGTGTGAGAAGTGTACAAGGGGAGTGTGAGAAGTGTACAAGGGGAGTGTGACAATGGGATATTCCAAGATTACCGTGCACTTGTTGATAAGTGACCAAATTCTGGTATATGTAGTTTCTTCTATTCAGGGATTGTATACCATTACACTAAATGGATTGTATACCATTACACTATATGGATTGTATACCATTACACTAAATGGATTGTATACCATTACACTATATGGATTGTATACCATTACACTATGGATTGTATACCATTACACTATATTGGAAACGAGGGGTTGTATAAATCTAAACTTGTATAACTCCCTTGTCACTCCAGTGTCCCGTGTATACTTCAGAATATAATTTTTGTCTATTTGTTAGTCATCAAGTGGCTCTATATCGTTGGGTCATGAAGTGGCTCTATATTGTAAGGTCATGAAGTGACTGTATATCAGTTTGCAACAAGACGAAACCGAAAATTTACCAAGTTGTACTATATCCATTACCCGGCCAAGCTCGATTTATATCTACAACCCAGTTCCATTTGATATTGTTTTACTTATCCATAATCCATCAGATGCTATTGCTTTTAATTATAATTATCCGCAAGATGGCATTGCTTCAGTTAGCCTTGATGCATCCGATGATATTGATGGAGTTGTCCATTATCCATAATATTAATAATATGACATTGATTTGCCTGTCGGATCAGACACGTTTCTAACTTCACAACTGATTAGATGGGTTCCTCGAAAGCCAACAAAGAGAATTGATGTGTGTTGTTTTATAATACAGTTGCATGCCTCTGGGGCATGGGGTTCTCAAAATGAAAGTAGAACAAAATAAGATACTATAGTCGATTTTCGAAAGCTAGCAGAAGCTGGGAAGATTGTAAAGATATCAGTCACTGTGGCATTAAGGAATCAGGTACAAAGCCACTATTAGATGAAGCTTAAAAGATTTATCTGTCAAGTTGATAGACATAGCCTAATGTTGGGTTCTGAACAATTAAACAACAATTAATTTGTGTGTGTTGCCTAACGAATTTGCATTTACATTCTCGAAAAAGACTCATCTTTGTACCAAACTTTGTCACATGGGCGGTATTTGAAGACTTGTCTATTTCGAAAACACCTGCTGCGGTGATTTGTCTATCTAGCTATTATCTAGTAGATGTAGATTGGCCTTTGTTGTTTATGGTTGCAATGTATGAAAGACTAAGAATGGGTATTCTCGTATGTAGTTTTTGTAATGTTGCATTTTGTACTTCAATGTGGTATGTACCGCGCTTCGAGCCTTTGGGGATGAAGCGTGATTTTCAAATAATCTTTATTATTATTATTTGCATGAAAAGATTATTATACACACTTCCCTTCCCATCCTTAAAAAATGCATCCTCGAACGACACAAGGTAGGTTTCATATTACGTTAAAATTCAGCTCAAATGCTTATATGCAGACGGAACGCTGGAATCCTATAGGCCTACATTTTAAAAAATTAAATTTAGAATCGGAAATGTGTTCAACACAAAAAGTTCCAACAAATAAAGGGGAATCAATCTTGAAATAATATTTATTATCTCCATTTTCGTGTTTACTGCCCTTTTTTATTTCTTTGAAACGTCTTGTTTTGGCATTACGACTCAATTACATTTTTAGAATGCATGTTTCATATTTAACAATATCATTACTATGGTTCTAATTCATAAATGAATATTTTTTTCTGCTTAGGAGTATACTATTGTTTTTGTTTTCAAGTTTACAACTTAATTTTCAATTCTCAAAAAGGAATGGTCCTCAATCACGTGATATACTTTCTTCTTTCCTTTAGCAAGGCAGCCATCTTGTTTAGCTGGACTAATTACCACCCCCTTCCTGCAGTCGGCAAGGTGTCAGGCAGTGGATTGTCAAGGTGGTCGGGTCATTTCACTGGCCCTTACTTTAATTGGATTAAACGAAACATAAAATTTTATTCTAATGAGTAAAATGGCGGGTCAAAGCATTATGGACCGCGTTGTGGCCGCTAGGCACAGCATCGCTGGTCAGGGCCTGGCAAAGTCTGTTTGCAAGGCAACAACAGAAGAAATTATCGGTCCTAAGAAAAAACATCTTGATTGTAAGTACTGGTACTTAAAATTATTGCTCGCTTCGATACTTTTAAAATGGGACACGCCCATTTTATGTGATAAATTTCAGTACGCTTCACTAATTGTTACTATGATGATGATTCTCTTACATAACAACACTGACTATACTTAAAAGTTAGTTTGTTACAGAGAGGTTTTGCCTTGACTTGACACTCTTGTGACAGATATTTATTATAGTTTATTGAATTAAAAGTTACAGTCAGACAGTGCTACTTCTGTATGTCTACAGACTACACAGTGTCGCTCAATCACTTACTTTTTTAAGCATTTAGACTATTGTCTATTCTATGTTTTAGTTTCTTACTACTACTACTAATACTACTAATACTCAACTACATTTTAAGTTCTTATTCTTAGACTTTTAGACTTAGGCTCTGTAAATTAAAGAACATTCTGGTTATAGTTTAGGCCTGTCTTAACTCTTTCCGTGCCAATCGACAGTATACTGTCGATTTGACTGGTCACGTTTGTGCCAACCCACAGTATACTGTCGCTATCATTTATGCAGTTTGTTTCGTTTCTCGTGGCTCTTAATCCTACTTTTTTTGTTCTTAAACGAAAGATAAATCTTACTACTTCCTTTTTTTAACAAGTAGGGCATGTTTGCATGTGTTTTTTCTAAAAATAGTTCAATTTGTGTTGAACCTTTTGTAAACAAAGCCATGGCCACGCCCACTCCAAGCATGTCAGCTTTTGCTAGACCACTAGGTAGTCTATTTTGCAAACAAAAGAACTTTTATTGCTAATTATTGATGCTGAAACAACAGACAATAACCATGAATCATTTGAATCAGATTCCAATGATGATTTTCAGGATTCTGATGGGTCGGTAAATGCCAAATGGAAATAGTAATAGAATGGCTATAGTAATAGTAATAGTGGTGACTGTCGGCACTTTCATAAAAATTTCAAAACATTTTTAAAAATATAAAAATACCACGAATATATAGAGCCTAGAGAATGGATTTAAAAAAACACCCAGATCAACTTTCTAGCTCAGGTAGTTCAAAAGTTATGAATTTTGTTCAAAACCACTGTGTTACTATGGCAACGGAGAGGATTCAGATAAGAATACTCCTAACGTTACAAAAATGGGTATAACTCTGTAACAAAATGGAATATTTTCAAAATTTAAAATCCACTATGATCAAAAATGGATATAATTTTTGGGGATTGAAGCAGAATAGGATATCAGCTACACAGACCGAATGGTAGTCTGATAAGTTCAGATTTGGTGTGCAATTTTAAAAATACAAAAAATTTGATCTCACAATTTTACCTAAAAAATTTAACTTATTGTTGTTATATTGTTTTATAGTTTAAATATTATTATTCTCTGTCTAATTTCCTTTAATTTGATATGAAATACAGCTATCTAAAAAGAAATGTATTCAATTATTCAAAATTAATTAATAGGTAGGAGCACCCTAAAAAATTTCCATTGGCCAAATACTGGTCTGGCACGAACGTGGGAAACCCCCTGGCATGGAAAGAGTTAAGCCTACTACCTGCATGTGCCTGAATAATTATAATAAAAAGGACTTATAAGCCTTGATAATATTGTGTTATTAACCTATAGTCTAAAGGCCTACAAAATAACAGCACAGTTAATTGTACGCTTGGCATTTCCCCCTGTTCTTTTTAGTTTTTGCACTAATTTTACCCGACTCACATGGTTGCCATGACACCATGTCAATAAGGAGGACGGCTGTGTGAAAAAAAAGTAGTGCAAAAACATCCCTTTGTAAACTTTGTAAAAATCAACAAAAACGCTACAAATAACAAAAAAATCATTCAATTTGTGTGTGTGTGAAGAACCTTGAAATCTAAACTTTACAACTCTGCCTGTCCTGAATGCTAAGGCGGTATCCCTAACTCCAGCGTAACTTCACCCCTAAATTTGGTCTCCTTCCCCCCAAAAAAAAAACAAACTTAAATTTAAATCTTCAAACCAACAGCCAAAGTGAACCTTAAAATCATGCATAAAAAAAACAAAACATGTTCATATGCTACATTTACAGACACTACTTAGTTAAATCGTAAATTTGAATAAAAAGATTAAAATAATTTTAGAGTATTTCAAAATAATGAAAACCCAACTTACAGTTTCATCATATTGTAAGGAACCTTGCTTACACTCCGACAAACTTCATCTCTGGTACTCAATAAGTAAACAACTCCGGTGATACATTTGATGAGTAAACTCGTGTTCTTTATTGGCTCTGTCACTTGCTTACACTTTCATTCATCTCACAGCTCTGACTGCCCTCGTCCTCTACCGTCGCTGTTCTCTACCTCTNAGTGACTTGGACCTTCAGCATTCATTTACAAACAGCTCACAGTAATACACGTGACGTCATTCGCTTTGGTTCTAATGCGTCTCCTGGTGTAAACAATCCTACGGTAGCCCTACCTTCGAATACGACAATTGAATTAAACGGACACCCCTAACGGCCTAACGCGGTCTCCTAAACAGTTGTGGTTAAGGTCAGAGTCAGTTTTGAGTCAGTCAGAGCGCCTAGTACATTCACAACAATCAAACAATTATGGTTGTACAACAACTAGATCAAGAATACTACATCATCTAGAAACTTAATTAATAGTACAGCATTAAGATATAAATTTAAAAACTATATTAAACAACAAAAAAAATTCAATTACAATGAAAATTGTCAAGTATCATATCAGAATCGAATAAAAATTCAGAGCAACAGCAATTATTGTGGTCGGTATACATCCAAAACTACTTAAAGCCTTCAATGTTATTGTTAATGTCATTAGGATTCACAAAACATTTTATACCTCAAAAAAAACATCAACTCGAAATAACAATCATCATGTCATAATTAGAGCATTATCTTTTTATAACCGATTCAACTCTGGAGTTCATATGTCTCTAGATAAAATAAAACAACATTAGTTAACTTTAAATCTTTTCACCAAAAAAATGCATGTCATTCCCTAAAATAAACTAGGTGTCCAAAATGTCTTCACTCTAAGCTTCTTGCAGAACGCGTGGAAGCTCCGGAGTAGCTCCCATCAAGTTGTCTCTTAGGCAATTTGTTTGTAACTTTAAAATCCAGTCGGGTGGATTATTGTCATAATAGGGTTTCAATCGGTCGTGATGAATTATTCTTGCCTTCGTCTTTCCCTCTCCTCGAATTTCAAATAACACATCACTAAATTTTCGACTGACAACGAATGGTCCGCGCCATTTATTTGGGTTCAATTTTGGGTTTCGACCCACCTGTTTGGTTAAGTCCAAATAGAGAACCACATCCCCCACGTTGAAGCTATGTTGTACTGCCCGAGTATCGTGGTCCCTTTTCTGCCGCTGAGCTGCTGTCTTAAGATGTTTCCTGGCAGTGGCATAAATGTCGTCCAACTTTTGTTCAAGTTTCAACACGTACTCGGGTACGGGTTGACCGAGATGTTTATCAGGTAATGGAGCCCCCATCGACAGGTGAATGGGCTGATAGAGCTCTCGCCCAAACATTAAATAATTGGGGCTGTAGCCAGTACTGGGATGTTGATGGTTTCTGTACGCACTGGTCAATAGTGGGAGATGGACGTCCCAGTTCTTTTGATTCTCCGCAACGTATGCAGATATCATCTTAATTAGCACTGAGTTAAATCGTTCGACCTGTCCGTTACTGGCTGGATGGAAAGATGATGTCCTGGTTTGCTTAATGTCTAGTAATTCCATTACTCGTTTAAACAATTTACTTTGATAATTGGATCCCTGATCCGAATGCAATTCTAACGGGCAACCAAAAATGGAGAAGAATTGGTTTACCAAAGTAGCGGCCGTTGTTTCTGCTGAACAGTCAGGAAGTGCATATGCCTGGGTATATTTAGTGAACGCGTCCACTACTACAAGAATGTATCTATTGCCAGTATCAGTGACGGGTAACGGACCAATAAAGTCAGTGCACACTCTTTGCAATGGGGATCCTGTAAGAAACGATTGCAATTTGGCTGAGCTGTTGGCGCGAGGACGTTTGGTGCGCTGACAGATAGTACAGTTGGTGATGAACATTTGAACATCACTTTTCATTCTGTACCAACTATAGTACGTACGGACATTATCCAATACCTTATTTATGCCGAGATGACCAGCATAGACTGACGAGTGCATTTTCTTCAACACTGTCCTTACCAGGGACCTAGGCAACATAATTTTCAATATTTCATCCTTCCGACCCGGATGAAACCAACGTTTACATAAAACTCCATCCACAACAATAAGTAAATCAAGGTTCAACCAAAGATTCCTAACAGCCGGCGATTCTCCACTAATGTCCTCTCTTTTTGGTTTGGTCTTGTCCTTGATCCACTTAAAAACATGACTTAAGTCATTATCTTCCTGCTGAAATTTTCTCAAATCTTCCTTTGATATGTCTAACCCTTCGCAGAATGTATAGTCACTATTGTCTGCACGAAACACGGCAACCGACTCTCGGTCCGCATTCCGATCATTTCCTTTTGATGTCGACTCAGGGAAAGGTAATTGGATAGGTTGGCTTGGTACGAGGGGCGTGTCCGTGGGGCAGTTTTCCCACCCAGTCTCATCTGACGTTGACCCTCCGACCGAGGGGTTAGGTGGGTTCACGGGAGGCTGCGTTTTACTGCGAGTCGTCACCATGTTGATTTTCACAACAGCTGCTGCTGGCAAGTGGTTACTAGTGGTGGATAATGGAATGATGTCTTCTTCCTGATAAAATTCTGACCATTGTCGGAATCTCCTGGTGCACAAGTCACAACCTTTACATGGAAGATCCTGCAACATTTTGTCCTTGTTATAAAACAGACAACCTTCTGGTTCACTTCTTGATAAAAAATCGGCGTTGGTATGCTTATTGCCACTCCGGTGTTCGATGTCAAAATCAAATTGTGATAAAAGTTCTATCCATCTTGCTATTTGGTCTGTGGGGTTACGAAAGGATAACAACCACCTAAGGGAGCTATGATCTGTCCTCACCATGAACCTTCGACCCAAAAGAAAATGGCGAAATTGATTAGCAAAGGTGACGACTGCCAGGAGTTCACGTCGGGTTACACAATAACGTCGTTCAGCTCGATTTAAAGACTTGCTAGCGTGGTATATTGGTCTCTCCATCAGTTGCTGGTCTCGCTCCGACCACTGCATCTGTGACAGAGTACACCCTATAGCTGTGGCACTTGCGTCGCAGTCGATGATAAAACTACCACCGTCGTGTTGTGGCTGGGCCATAACTTCAGAGGAAATCAAACATTGCTTTAACTGAGAAAACGCAACTTCACACTCGTCATTCCACTCCAAAATCTTAGTGTTCTTTCCTTCTAACAACCGATTAAGGGGTGCAGCTATAGTCGAATGCCCCTTTATCCATCGTCTATAGTAAGACGCCATACCAAGAAAGCTCCTCAAAGAAGATACGTTTTGTGGCCTTGGAAAATTATTGATTGTTTCAACTTTCTCGGGGTCAGTCTTCACTCCTTCTCCTGACACTACGTAACCTAAGAATCGGACCTCTGATTTAAATAAAACACATTTTTCCGGTTTAAGTTTGAGTCCTGCCTGCCTCAATCTATTAATAGCCTCCTCGAATCGATCTAAGCACTGTTGGAAAGTCTCGCCAAATATACATATGTCATCAATGAACACCACTAAAGTTTTATAATTTAGGCCCTTAAAAACAGTTTCCATGCATCGTTGAAAGGTGGCTGGTGCCCCTGTCAAACCCATGGGTGTGACGTTGTACTCGTAGTGGCCATTCAACGTGGAAAATGCCGTTTTTGCTTTATCCTGTTCCTCAACTTCTATCTGATAATAAGCTGACTGCAAATCTAAGGAACAAAAATATTTTGCACCAGCCATCACCTCTATCAGTTCGTTACATCGAGGAAGTGGAAAACTATCCTTCTGTGTCACTTTATTTAGTTCCCGATAATCGCACACAACACGTACCTCATTGTTTTTCTTTCTAACAAAGTGCAACGGGGCAGACCACGGTGACTTTGACTCTCTTATAATGCCGGCCTCCAGCTGAGAGGTGATGACGTCATCGACTTCGTCCTCAAACGCTCGTGGAGGTCTCCGTGGGGGAATTTTAATAGGTCTTGCATCCCCCGTCGGTATCTCATGTTTTATAATAGAGGTCCTTCCCACGTCCAGCGATGAGGTTGAAAATATTTTCCTATTCCGCTCCAACGAACACCACAATTTTTCTCTCTCTTCCTCATTGAGCTCACCGTTTTCTATTGTTCTTTCAAACAGATTTCTCACCAACGAATAAGACTGGTCCTGTTGAATCACTGAATTTACACATTTTGTTATTACTGGCACCTTGTGTCTATGTAGGTTGAGCCCCTTTTTAATTGAAAATGAAAAGTCATAGTGACATAGGAAATCGAATCCTAGATAACCATCGTCGGTTATGTCTGCGATATGCACCGTCCATGGGTAAACCTTCTCTCCAATAAGCAAGTCTAGGTCGCAGACTCCATGGAGTTTTATAGACGTGCCACTGGCTGACTGTAGATGTAATGGGACGAGGTGGCTATTCAACGTTGGTCTATGCTGCATCCTATTGAAAATTCTCTCGGACAAAATTGTCACGGCCGCCCCAGTGTCTAATAAAAACTGTGTTTCCACATCAGAAACGTTAATTGTCACATACACAGCGCTTATAGCTCGTTGTTGTTCTGGTTTCCTATGTTTCCTAGAGGCGGCCCGAACTAGTTTAAACGACGAGGGTTTCGTCCTTCTGGTCGTTTGTTTGGGCAATTACGTGCGATATGACCGATTCGATCACACCCAAAGCATCTGAGTTCCGCCCTCCGATTATCTCCCCTTTCACGTGACGGCTGGTTAACTGCCCTTCGCTGTGAGGCCATGAATTCCCTAAGGTCCTCTCTCAAGCCGCTAACCTCCCTGGCCAAGGAATCGGTAGCTACTGACGCTACTTGCTGTGTTGGTAAACAAACGTTGTCCCTCAGATTTAAGATTGTATCCAAGGCAGCTCTCGCCTTGTCCACGGTGGGAGGAACAGCCATAGTGCCAACTTGTGTCGCCATAGACTGGTCAGGCAGCCCACGTAAGAACTGTTTAAACCCAATGGCATCTCTTGTAGCCTGGTCTGCCATTGGGAAGCTTTTTGTAACCAATCTCTTGAGGTCTGTAGCGTACTCAGCTGTAGTCTCTGATTTCAAGAACGTGCGTTTGTCTAAAACATTCTGAAAGAATGCAGGTGTTCGATGGTCCTTAAACCGATTAGCCAGGGCATCCTTGAGTTTCTCGTAGCTGTCCCTCTCAGCTTCGCTTAATTCGCTGTACGCAAATTCCGCAGCTGCATCCTTCAGTGAAAAACTGAGATAGAGGAGCTTGTCGTCATCACTCCACTTAAAAATTCTTGCCGAAGTCTCAAATTGCACGATAAACGTGTGCCATGTAGACGTTCCACTGTACGTTGGGATGTTGTGTGCGTGCTGTGAAGACATTGTGCTTGCTGTCAATCTTCCGCTCCTTGTACCTTGCATTTAGTCAGGCTAACGAAAATGTACGTCTCTTCGGAGTCGTTGCAAGGTTAAGTATCCCACCGCTGCCACCATTTGTAAGGAACCTTGCTTACACTCCGACAAACTTCATCTCTGGTACTCAATAAGTAAACAACTCCGGTGATACATTTGATGAGTAAACTCGTGTTCTTTATTGGCTCTGTCACTTGCTTACACTTTCATTCATCTCACAGCTCTGACTGCCCTCTTCCTCTACCGTCGCTGTTCTCTACCTCTGTCTGCTCTCTGTCGTTGCCTCCGTCACCAATCTAACCGTCCCCTCTTATAGGTCCACCAGCCAACCAAGGCGTCGCTAGAGATTACTCCCCCTACCTTCTTAAGTCTTGATTCATCCGCTACGCGCCAAACACCTGGACTGAACTCTGCCGTGGGTTTTGCCCCTCATCCCTGCCCGCTGCATTCCTCGCCTTAATTTATTTGGTCAGTCTTCGACTGTGGGTTTACCCCGCTCCGCTGACCTCCATTGTGTTCCACGTCTTAATTTATATGCTACCCGCCAAACACCTGGACTGAACTCTGCCGTGGGTTTTTCCCCTCACCCTGTCCACCTGGACTGAGGCTGAACTCTCTACAATACCCCCATCTTACAAAACAATGTCGTCCCGACATTACACAATATTAATACACTTTTACACACTTTATCAACTGTTGTCAGAATAATCAAAATCCATTTCACAAAAATGAACAGACGATGACTCATCAAATGGCTTTGATTTGATTTGAATGTTTGCATTGATGAGTGCCACATAAATAAATTAATAGATAATCTGGAAAGTAAAACATTGTAAGAAAATAATTTTGAATTCTGTTGATGAGAACAGACGAGGAACGTTTATGAGAACAGACGGGGAACACACTGGTCAATTCTGACAAGATTGGGAACGAATGCTTTTTTATATCTTTCTGTCCAACATTGCATTTACAACGAGGCCATTTACACTTTGTCTGAATAGTGTCTAAACTAGTAACTCAATGCAATGCCCCTTGATTTCATTTGATTTCTTTACTATGTGAGATGTGTCTGGGAGGTCGGAGGCGGATTATTTTAATTCACATCACAATCACACACAATCTGCAAACAAAACAAATAAACTATGACCCTGAGTGAGAATGAAATCACAATCCTTTTGTGCGATAGCTTAATTTTTGCTCAATCGCTTATTACCATTTATTATTATTTAATCTGTAATATGCCTGTGTATTTGCTTCATGCATAAGAATGTAACTAATTATGAATAAATCATAGAAATAAATGTGTGTTTATAATATGTATGCATGATCCGGATAAGCCATCACTTACTTCCATTTACTTACATTCAGTCTATCATAAACATTGATGTAGAATTAGTTTTGCCTTGACTAAAATTTGAAAAACTACTAGTTTATAGCATGACTAAGGCAGTATAGAATGAAACAACTTCTATCCTCATGTCATTTTCCTCCAGTATTATTTGGTGAAAAGTCAGGTTTAATGTTGACAGTAAACTGAACTCAATAACTTTGTCAAGACTGATGTGATGATATAATACTTCAATTATTTAAATACACGAATCTGTATTACTACAGGTAGCATAATTAACCAATTATTTACAGCTGAATTGCTTCAAATTCATCATTTGAGTCCATTTCTTACAAATTACTATTGACCAGTTTAAAATAACTCAAAATTGAACATAAATTGGACTTAAAACAAGCTATTTTCACTTTAAAAATTTGCTATTTTCATTTATGAATGATTTAAATATGCAAATAATATGCGCTAGCAAGGGGAGGGGGATAATTAATTTTGTATTTATGCATACAAAACATATAAAATGATGTAAAGTTATAAATTATACATTTTTCGACTTATTTTTTTTTCTGTACATACATTTCATGCTCTTCTGCAGTTGTTAAAAAATTTTGTGTACAGTTCTTTGATCCCACATGTTGGCATGTATGCTATTACTAAACATGATAACATTAATAATTATAAGAATATTTATGCCATACAGATAGATGATTTTTCTGTTATGTCTTGTTTCAACAATTTTGGAAATTTATATTTACCTTAAGCATCAATGTGCCCACATTGTTACATCATTGTTTCTCAAGTGGCTAGTACCGTCCCCAGAGGATGTCGGGAGAGCCCAGGGGGGCGATTAAAGGCTCTGGAGATATTAATTAGGTGGTGCTAGAACTACCAAAGGGGGCGTTATAATAAATTTTATGAGTAAGCTTTTTTATTGAAATTATTTCTTTAAAAGAAATAGTAAATATAGTTTTAACTGTTGGCTTCAATAAGCGTCGAGGATAGACAGAGTATAATTTTTATTTTTACACACAAGAAAGTAAGAAAAGTCTCTTGATATTATTTCCAGACAGCTATTATTAATCAAAACATTTATACATAAATAGGCATTATGAGCTGACACAAAGTAATATTTATGGCATATGTGTTAGTCTATTTTTTGACACCACTTCTTGTCACTCCTTTGTTTTGCTTTGATATTGACGTCACAAATTAAATGTGCTGTGCCACTCTTTACCTCTTTACCCACCCCTTCCTTGATTGGGAAAAATTTGCTTTTGTTTGAATGCGTTCTATTTGTTCTAAAGAATTTTATCAGGTGACGCGATTTCTTTACTAGATAGTTCTGATTTAATCCCTACATATAGGTTGGCAGCTTTCGGGGGGGGGGGGGGGGGGGGGGGGAGATTTTTGCTGTATTTCCTAAAATACACAAGATGTTACATAAGTGCAACATTGTACTGTGAGTAAATTTATACTTGTGATTTTTCAAGGATTATACCTTTTCACTTGCTGTACTGTAAGGGGATATAGTTTTTTTTGTTTCTGTATATTTGAATTTGTATTTTTATAGAAATTTAATAGTATAATTAAATTGAATATTGTCAGTATTGCTAGCTTTTGTATTGTTTTTCTTTGAACACTGGTTTTCAGTCCTTTGTTATGTTTTGTTTATTATACCAGCCAAATCTTAACATATTTTCAATTTTCACAACCATGTAACTGTACATAACATAAAAGTTTGGATAATTATAATGAAAAATTTATTTTGAGAAAAGGCAGGAAGCAGTATTAAGTGTAATAGAGCAGTTCTTACATGACAAGAAAATTACAACTAACAACATACTATGGTACAATTGATGGGAACAATATTCAAGATTGGCCGAAAGCGTTACTTGTTGCTTTATGTCAAATTTCTTTATTATATTTGTGCCATTCAAATGGTTGCTAAAAACATCTTGTTGAGTATTACTGCATTTATTTAAATCAGAGCACACACACTCAATTAGTGTTATTTCTAGCATCTTAAGAACGATCCAGATTTTGCTGCTTTAGTCTGATGCTCTTTGGCATAAATGCTAATCACATCTTGGTGCAGTCTCTAAAGACATTACACATAAGATTACCTTGATGAGAAATATTTTCCAAATTTCTCTTAATTTGAATTAAAAGTAACTCCATTTAAGTGTAAAATTGAGTTATACTAATTTCCAAGCCTGTCTGAGCTAGTCGAGATAGACGGCTGCAATAAAAGATGACTATTGGGTGTATAGTTAGCGACAATTTGAATTTTCTACAGAAGTTTGTTCAAGTGAAATTACTGTATCTGGTGGAATGTGGTTTTATTCCTGCCTTGCTCCTGACAAATAAATAATATATAATTATGAACATAGTCAACGGAGATACTGCTCAGAGACTTATAAGGTAGTTATAAAAACCTTCTGCCTCTTTACCAAGCATGTGCATCAATTGCATTAAGAATAACTGACCATTGAAATGTTACATATCTAAAATCTTGGTAAATAATTATCCTACTTTACAATCTGAGTTTTCATTTGATCAAATTAATATTATTATTGAATGAATGAAACTGAAAAGTTTCATTTGTCTGTTGATTCAATGTTTAAATTTATGTACACTGTAACATTTGTGAAATAATATACCATAGGTCATGCACAATTTTATTCTTGAATACTTTTAATGGGATTGGACGGGTGGAGCGCAGGGTGAATTTATGGTCCCAAGGCAAGGGGGCAGTGGCACTTAGTTACATTGTAATTTGTCAATGAAAGTAACTTGACAAGGAAACTTATACGTTTAAATGCTCACAACTTTAATAATTACCCTGAAAGTTACATTGTGAAAATACTGAACATTGTTTTAATGCTTTGAGTTCTCTGTAGGAATAAACCACTATGGCACTAAAGCAAATGAGAAATTATCGAGGATCAGATCCAGTCTATGTGTGATATATTTAGAATAATCAAAGGGATAAAATTGTGATCAACATTTTTAATTGGCATGCTTTTTTACCTTTTAAAATTGGTCTCCAACATTATATTTATAAAATAATGATGTTGATAAAAAAAAACTCGTTATGTAACCTTGTCACGGGAATGATAAATCTGTTACAGTTATAATCAACTGCATCAACTTGTAAATATTTTTAATAATAAACGTCACACTTCTTTTCTCCCATTGCATTTCCTGAAACAATCCTCAGCTCCTAATCAGAGGATTCGAAAATAAATGAACAAAATAAGCAAAACATATTGTATAAAAATTCTGTTTGTCTTTTTTAAAAAGCTAGTGTCATTAAAACTAAAATCAACAAGCCAGTGTACCATTTATTTTACACATGAAAACTCACTGAAAGACCTTTCTAAAAAACCAGCATATGCAGGTATTAACATAGTAGACAAGGAACAGATGTGATGATCCAATCTGGTGGTATTTGCGGGCAGAAACTATGACCAGAGAGGGGTAGACAACTTTACTTCATTGATCAATCAGTGCGTGGTGGGGGTTGGCAAATATCAACTTGCTCTTAGCCTCACTTCCTTATATTAATTAATTACAAGAATTGTCGCTCTCACAGTACTCCCGGACAGACTTGTATATTTTCCTCTTTATATCTATACTGTTATGGATTAGATGAACAACCACGTACACTCTGTAGTATGAAGTGGTGTGGGAAGTAGACATATGTTTATTTACAACATGTTGAAATTTGTTACAACTCTACCACTTGCTCTCATGACCGCAAGAGGGCTTTTTATAGGTTGATAGTAGATTTTTTTTCTTTCAGGACATGAAATTTGATGGTTGGTTATTAATCCACATAACATTGTCATAATAAGAGAAAGTGGCTAGTATTTGTAACCTGGGTGTAGCTAGCTGTTGGTATTATGGGTGATATCTGTGATGAAGTGAGATGTATTATCCAATTTTTTTTTAGTTTTACGACAGCATTTTTCTTTAAATAGTTCCTCAAGTGAAGGATGTTTTAGTTTGTGTGATATTATGACTTTCTTGATCAGTCTATTTGATCGGTGTTTGATGTCAGACTATGAATTCCCACACTGAAGTTTAGTAGGTTTCCAATTGTTGCCCTTTAGAATAAGTTAACAACTTGTTTGTTTACGCCGAAAATGTACACTTTTTTAAGATGGAAAAGTCTTTGGTTGACTTTTTTATACAGAATTTGGCGTTGTTCATGCTATGTCAGTTTAATATTAATGGTGACCCCTAGGTACTTATAAGTCGCTAATTGCTCTATACTGGTTTTTTTTTTTTATTGCAAGATCTGCAATTTGGTTCCCCTCTCGAAATAGACAACCATTTTCATCACACCAACTGATAAAACTTGTAACTCAGTTTGGGTACAAGCTTTCCTCTTCAGATATTAAGCCAACGATGGTGTTAACATCAGCACATTTAATCATGGTAACCGTGTTGCTTCTGTTCTGGAAATCATTGGTATATATTGTATGCAGGACAGGGAGGGAACTCAACCTTGGGGCACTCAAGTGCTTATTTCTCAAGTTAATTATTATTACATCAAGAAATGGCGTCAGCAGGGCGAGTTTGCACTCTTTATGCCCCCTCCCCCTCCCCAATCACCCCTCCCCGGCCCGACGCATCGGGCCGTGGAGCGGCATGTCGGGGATGCCGACTCGTCAGGACGGCCCCTCACCTAAGTCCCCCACCCGGGCACCTGGGCGCTCGACCAGGGCCCCACCTGGGGGCCGCCCCAACCAGCAGGCACCCGGTCGGTCCGACACTATGCGTTTAAATAGTGCAAACAATCGACTTTCTTATGGAGTTGGGATGGAAAATTTACGTCCTAATATCTTCCCCCACCCATCTCGGGAAAGCATCGGACGCCCTATAAGAGGGATTCCACAGTGGATTTCCACAACGCAATTAGCTTGCGCTGTAGCTGCGACGAAACGGTTGCCTAGGGACAGCTTTCTCAAGGCTGCATTGTTTGAATCCTCGGCCAGAGGTTACCACCTTGCCTCTGGCCTCATACCCGTCACCGGCAACTTGTAATCATGATCCCTACCCTGGCTCTGCCTAATTTTCCGGCTGTGAAGTATCACAACTGGCAGCCCTGTGGGAGCTGTTTTATGTACGGCAGGTACCGAGCACACCCTTTGTCAGCCCATGCGAGGCGTGCCCAGTAATTCTGTTTCCCGGCACACGCTGAGGGGGGTTGGTGGCCGACACTTCCTAATCGACAAGCCACAACAGACTTGGAAACCGGGAACATTTCTCAAGTTAATGAATTTGGTCATTCACCTTGACACATTGTAGGCGATGTGTTTAAAAGTTCAGTATCCATGCTTGAAAATTGAATTTACACCTAACAAATAAAGCTTTTTAATCATAAGATGTGGTTAGATGGTCTTAAATGCTGATAAGTCTAGGAAAAGCACCCAAGCATATTTTTTAGTGCTGTCTAGGTGATGGTAAAGTCTTTCCAATAATAGTAAGATGACATCCTCTGTATTTCTGGCAGATTTATAAGCAAATTGGTGGGGGTCAAGTTTTTGCTGTACTTCATTTAAAATTTGTCTTTCTGTAAAATATGCAACAGGACACAAGTCAATATTGCACTTTATTTTTCTTTGGAAAAGGTATAATTTCTGAAAATTTCCATATCTTTGGTGTGGTATGAGATTTATAAAATTTATGAAATATTTAACAAAAAGTTTGTTCCATCTTATCTTGACATTTCCATAAAAGGCCTTAAAACACAAACTCAAATGTTTGAAAAGACCTTTATACTGAGATTTTTATTACTGTCATAACATCCCATCCCCGCCCCTACTAATTTACCATAAAGGCAATTGTTTTGTTGTTTATTTGTTTGCACTGGATGTGTTAGATTTCATGGCCTATAGCATTGAATTGAAAATGGATATTATTTTCTGAATGAAAATTTTGTAATATTTCGGGGTACCTCTGTGATAAGGCCACAATTCCCCAGGGTGCTGCAATGTTAACTTTGGGAACCACTGATGTAATGTGTTTTGGGAACTACTAAACCAACAGCTGGTAAACAAATAAATTTTTCTAAATTATTTGATAATTTGTTTGGATTCTCAGATCGCTGGTAAACACTTGTTCATTTGAAAATACAGATTAATAATTTTTGACGAAATTCTTCTTAGATCTGTTGCAATGCACAAACGAGCCCAACGTATCCATCCCACAAATGGCAGATTTACTTATAGAGAGGACACAGCACCAGAGTTGGGTGGTGGTGTTCAAGGCTCTTGTGTCTATACACAATCTCATGAACTATGGAAATGAGGTGAGTTATTTCTCTCTTCACCCACTTCTCTCTATTTCTTTTAGGGATATACAGGTTTTCTGGTAACCCTCTAAAGGCCACGGAATGTAGTAGTTGGTTTGTGTTGCTTTCTAGACTTTTCTGTAAAGTAGAAGAAGTTAACTTTTCCAAGGAATCTGCTTCTAATCCATGATTTTTATAAAGTCTGGTTGTAGAACTCTTGGCTCCTCTTTTATTGCTGAGCAGTGTTTTCAAAAAGAGAAGAAAAAAAACTTAAATCTTTTTGCAATGACTGAAAATGCAACAAACACTGGTTATTAAGCATGGATGTTTGAGTATCATCTGCTTGTTTTATAAAAAAGTATAATGTCTTCATCTCACCTAATCATCTATAGACTAATGCCTATGTTTCATCTGAAATCTGGTCCCATATCTCTGCAATTGGCAATAATCATATCTCTCCCTAAATATCAAGTATTCTTCTCTTCTCTAAAAATAAAACTAACCGCTCCTCATGCCATAGCTGACAGCAGTAATTACAACCTCAAGGAATCAGAGGGGTATTATAAGATTTCGATAAAATGGATGAATCAGTGTAGCAAAAAATCTGATGCTTTATACATTCCTCATGCTTGGGTGAGGCACCTAAATTTGATAACGCATAATCTACTGTATTTGTCAGCATATAGGATATAAAAATTTCAAGTAATAATTTTTATTATCTGTGCATTAGACACACCCCATATTTTAGGTGGATTTTGAGAGAGGGGGAGTGCATCTTATATGCTGGCGAATACGGTAATTATAATAATTTGCTTGGATGTTACTCCTCATCAACTCAGCTGACATTTTTAATAGTTTTATAATGTGCTCAAGAATTTTACTGATTAGTTTTTGTGTTGCAGATGTAATGTTTCAAACCACTAGTCTAGTGTAATAAGGTTTAACTATCATAGATTCTCCTATATTTGAGTTATAGTCTCATGATTGCAATTTGCTTTGTGTCAAATTATTTCTATCTTTGAGCATTTCTTAATGTCACATTAAATATGCAATTTGGTTGTTTCTCAGATCCATCATTTCCGTCTTAAGTCAGTTGTTGATTTTTCTTTAAGACTCTTGACAAATAAGAAAAGTTTATGAAACAAGAAACATATCATTAAATATGTTATTAATAATAATAATAAACTTTATTTGAAAATCACGCTTCATCCCCAAAGGCTCAAGCGCTGATACAAAGTCAACCATATTAAAAGAGAAATGAAAAAAATGTTGTTTTTTTAAAATCAAAAACTTGTCATTGGTTATAGAATCTGTATTGACCATATTGTGCCCTATTTAACTAACTTCCATGTAACATTTTGATATTTAATTGATTAACCCATTCCAGAATATATAAAGAATTTTAGAGTTGCATCCTGGAAAAAATAAAAGAAGAAAGGGGGTGGGGGGTGGTGGCACTGTCTTTATACCAACTCTTCTGATTTAAAAAAAGTCCAGTTCATCGTCCTTTATTTTAAAAAAAAGTAAAATGTATTTGTATATATATTTTCTCTTTCCATTCTTGGTTAATGTCAGAGGTTTACACAATACTTAGCATCCAACAACTGCTCATTCAATCTTAGTGGCTTTGTGGATAAAGGGGGAGTTCAAGGTGAGAAAACAATTATCAATAATAATTAATACTTATCAAGTGTCATGTATATTGTAAAAATTCTTCTGTATTGAACTATTTTTCAAGGTGTAAAAATAAAATAACTAGTGAGCAACTGATTTTTTGGTAATTGTAAGCATCTAAAAGTAATTACTTTTTATGAATTTAAAATATTTAAAAATAATTAAGTGTTTATAAGAAAAGCAATGTTGTTTACCTTTTTGAAAAAAAAAAAAAAAAAGAAAATTGATTTAATTTACATAAGAAAACATGTTAAGAATGGATGATTTTTTGGTAATTGTAAGAATCTAAAAGTAATTACTTTTTATGAATTTAAAATATTTAAAAATAATTAAGTGTTTATAAGAAAAGCAATGTTGTTTACCTTTTTGAAAAAAAAAAAAAAAAGAAAATTGATTTAATTTACATAAGAAAACATGTTAAGAATGGGAGGAAAATGAGTTTAAGTAAATGTTTGACATTATTAGGTGAACTATATATCATGTTACTAGCTCAGTGAAACAAGTGCTCTTCATTAGGCTCCAATTTTTATTTATCAATTTTGTCCACATGGATCAATAATTAATTATATCCTCACCAACAGGTTATGACATGTCAACATACATTCGACGTTATGCCAAGTATCTCAATGAAAAGGCAATTTCTTACAGACTTATGGCATTTGACTTCTGCAAAGTGAAAAGAGGGTAAGGACAACTTAAAGCAGGGCTTCCCAAGGCATTTCAGAGGCTGTGAGGAAAGGGGTTTTAAAAACAGATGAGACAATTTAGCTTTTAAATTGTGATATATATATATATATTATATGTTTTATATATTTTTCAACATTTCTTCACATTTTCCCTTAGTTAATTTTTTAAGTTCTAAAGTTCCTTTTGCAATTCAATAAATAATAAGCCCCTTGTTTTCAAATGCTTTGTTACTTTTGTAGGGAGTACAAGGCTAGTTAAATAATTTGTAAGGGTAGCAGAGTCCATAAAAGGTTGGGAAACGCTGACTTAAAGCCTCAAGTTGAGCTTGTTTATACATATATAGAGATCTTTTTGGTACATACACTGGATAAGTTTAGATACCTAGGATGACTAAACATAGTCTCTTGAACAGGTGGTCCAGATTCTTTATCAAGTTTTTATATTTTTGTTTTTTGGATATCTAATCTATTATAGATAGGTTATTTATAAGCATGTGATTTTGGATAGCAGAAGAGTTCAGCCTTGAATTGGGTATTTATCATGTTTAATCTGTTTTTGTGTGTGTGCAAGAACAGGTTGTCAATAAAAATAGTGTCACCATTCTTAGCTATGTTCATTCTTGCTTTAATCCCCTCACCCCCCCAATAATAAGGCCATCTTCATCAAATTCGCTTCCAGCTTTGCTCCAGATACACACTCTATAAGTGAACAAAAATAATCAACAAAGCATTCAATTTTATTGAAATATGCATGATCCAGACTGGTTAATCTGTTCTTTTCCAAATATTTGACTGTAGCTTCGAGCAGTAATTAGTTTTATAGAAATTTAACAGCCAGATTTGTAAAGCTTACTCCCATTTAGCTAATAATTTATGCTGTGTTTGTAAACATAAGAGATATTATGTTATACAATTATATTTTCTTTTAGCTATCATTTGAATGAACACAGAATGTCAGAGCAACCAAACTTGTGAAGATCTAAGCCATATGGCATTTATCATAATGGTGTTAATATGGTTAATAACAACATGACATGAACAAATAGTTTTCATTCATTTTATAATGTATACAGCTAAATAGTCCTTCTTTTTCATTTGTTTAGAAAAGATGATGGTTTACTTCGAACAATGAACACTGACAAGGTAACTAATTCAGTTAAATGTAGCTTCCCACAACCTACTTTAAAAAATAAGACTTGAGATAAATTTAATGCTATTTTTTTAATCATTATAGAACCAAAAATGTAATTGGTTATTTTTGTTGCCAGTGTTTATTTTAATTAATGAGTATCTGTTATTTGCATTCACTAAAATTATATTCTCCCATTTTAAAAAACAACGATAGGACACTGTTATTTAGTGTTGACAGAGTCTTACTCCTAAAGGTTTTTGGTGACAGCTGATATAAGTTTCTGTGATTTAGGGAAATAGCCACTCAAGCCAGGCTCTCGAGTGGCTAATAAGTTCCCCCCTGCAAAATCTTTATTGGGACAGATTAAAAAGAGAAAAAAAAGCTCAATAAGTTATTATAATAAATGGCATGAGTGTGAGACAATTTCGATTTGTTAAGGAGTGTATGATGTGTCTGCTATTAGTCTCCAAGACCGACTGATATAATTTCAAAGCCAAATAACTCTCCAAATCAAATCAATTTTGCATACAAGAAATATTCTGTACTATCCTTCTATATATCATGCATTGCACTGTATTGTCTGCAACATACTTGAGGCTGAAATACCTGCTCATTTCTTTTCATAGCTTTTGAAAACATTGCCAATACTACAACAACAGTTAGATGCATTGCTTGAATTTGATGTAAGTAAAAAAGAAGTCTTTTTTTTTTCTTTTCCCAAAAAATGTTACTTTTGATTTGGTAAAAACAATTTTCAAACTGAAAATTAGTTTAAGAGTAAGGAAATTTATTGTTTTATTTTATTTTTACTTGAATAATCTGCCTACTTGACAATGAAGACCTATATTAATACAAGTCAGCACTAAAGTCTTATGTGATATTCCTTTAAGCTGAAAGGGGGGAGGGGAGGGGGTTGTGAGACAATGTTTTGATTAATTGTTTTATTTTTTATTCAGTGTACACCAAATGAGCTAACCAATGGAGTGATAACAGCCTGTTTCATGCTATTGTTTAAAGACCTTATTAGACTTTTTGCTTGCTACAATGATGGTGTCATAAATTTATTAGGTCAGTTACAACAAAATCTTAAGATACCAGTTAGGAACTGTTGTGACCTTTATTTGATATTTAGGGGGAAAAAAAAGATTAAATTAATCAACATAAGCCATAATATATATGTTCATAATGAAAGTAACTGGTGTGTAATAAAGATAAAGTTAGATTTTAAAAAAAATTGGTTGACAAAATTCAAAACTGTTGTTGTAATTGTCAAACTTAAATTAGATTTTTTAACAAAAATGAATTCTTTCACTGCTTTTCCAACAGAAAAATACTTTGATATGAACAAAAAACAGTGTAAAGATGCTTTGGACTTGTATAAAAAGTTTTTAGTACGGATGGACAAAGTCTCTGAGTTTTTAAAAGTTGCAGAGGTAAGAGGCTGAATGCTAGTCATAAACTATTTAATAATAATTTTGTTACTTTTTCAAATTTATTATGTTTTGAGATTTTTATTTTTTGCGAATACACTTGAAAGCATTCTCCTTTAAAGTTGTGATCTACAACTGCAAGTGGCAGTTAAATAACAAATTTTATTCCAATGTTTTTGTTTTTTTTAAATTCTTGTTCATGAATTCCAGAGTGATTAAATTTTTAAAAATTATAAATCAATTTGGCTCCCTTTATTTTTGACTTCTATCATTAAAATGTTAACTGTAACTGTTAATTGCAACTGTAATTTTGTATATTAATTAATTTTTCATCATTGTTCATAGAAATTTAATAAAACTAATCTTATGTTAAAAAATATTACTGTTCAATAAAACATTTTGGATTTGCTTTTGCTGAATTTTTTAAAAACCATTTTACAAAATTTTCTCCCTTTAGAATATGGGTATAGACAAAGGTGATATTCCAGATTTAGCCAAGGTAAGCATCTTACACATTTCATATGTTTCAAGATTATTGTATTTTGTTGTGACTCTTGTTCTATTGTTGCTGTAGGCTGTCGCTATAACTGAGGGTCTGCCATCAACATAATTTGTTAAAAATATATTTTGCTCTGATCTGATCTAACCTAAAAAAAAATATTGGCACCTGGTCTCAAGATTCAAGTACAAGTTTCTGCTATTTCATAGATTGAATTCATTTTTTGTTATATTCCTTTATAACATAACGAAGAAAAAATTTTCCTGTAAAAATATAAGTAAGAAAATGTTTTGAAAAAAATCTTTCACAACTGAAATAATGATAATAATACTGGAGTTAAATCAGTGACTGAGGTATTCCATTTATGCATTTCAGTGCTTTTCTAGTTGTTCACAAAACTAAGTGCTTGCCATACCAATCTAAGATGGTCGTTTCTACTGTTTCAGAGCTTTCAATATCATTTAGTGCTTGAAATGCTTGCAGTATTGTCATTTCTTTATTATAAGTCTACTCCTAGTTCTGGTCTCACGATATCCTCATCTAAATTGAATTACATGTTTTGTACACACAAAAAAAGCATTGATTCTCAAGATATTTTAGTCAAAAAAGTTAAATGCATGCCATAGCTCTATAACAAAACAGATTGTCAACATTTTCTTACTGTCATTTAAACCTGTAAGTTCTTTTGATGAAGACTTTGGTTTAAATGGAGAGTGCTCATACTCATTTATCTTGTTGTAGGGTGAAGTTGGAAATGTTGAATCTAAAATTCACAAGGTTTGTTACGACACTGCCAGTAAGGCAACCTGTTGTGAAATTCCCAGACCCTATGAAACATCCAGTTTTATAATCTACCACATCTGCCCACCCCCTACCATTCATTCAGAGGATAGCTAACATGTTAATGGTGCAAAATAAAATGCTGTCTTATTTTTCTTTGTGTAACTAATAGCTTTTAGATTTGTTAAATTCAGTCCTTGATAAATCAAGTAGATTTATAAATTCCAGTTTTAACCACCAGGTGTTGGTTTTTTCATCAGGTTTTTTTCTTTCTTTTTAATCCATCTCTGGTCTTCAGGTAAACAACATTCAAATGTGCTATACAATTTTCTCCCTAAAATATATTTTGAGCGTAGTTTGAATGACTACTTGCAGTTTCTTATTAAGGAACCTCTTTTGGGGGTTAAAGAAAATATGCCAAAAATTTAAATTTTAAATCTACTTGACATTTTACAATTGTTTTTTTTTTTTTCAATATTTTTGTTGCACCTTGTATGTAAGTCATTTTGAAATTATTTTTTTTTGTCTTTTGTTTTCAAGAGAGGTTCTGCTTTGTTTTCTTATGATAATTGTCATATTTTTTTTATTTTGCTTTTGTTGTTTTTTAAATTCAGGGTATGAAAGAAAAATCTTCATCTGTAAGTGTATTTTGCATAATCAGACAATTTCTATGCATTAAGTCCTCATTTTAACTGCATATTTCTTATAGTAATCAGCATCCTGTATCTAGCAAAAGTGATTTTTTTTTAAAACCCAGGACATAAAAAATAATCCTGTTTGGCAGTTAGTAAATTTGTACCTAAAGCTTGGAACATTTTAACCAAAAGATTGAACTGTATGCTTCACTTCATGAGTGGTTGTCATCTGCAAAGTAGCACCTCTCTTGTACTCTATTTCCTTAAAATTTCCTGATAATCTCTTTGTTTGCTATTATTTATTTGATTTTCTCTTTGCTTCTACTCCATTTTACTTTTTAGCATAACTTAAAGCATTTCTTTTTACTCATAACTTAAAGGGTTGCAATTTTATATGCAATATATGTCTAATTTCTTGTGCGTTTTGTTGACAATTTTCATATAAAAAGACAAAATCTATGCATATCCTGATAATGCTAATCCCACAGAACTTGTTAAAAGTTTTGCAAGTAGTTCTCAACAGGTACAGCATGCTGTACAACAATTATACGTTGAATAAAATATGTCACATTCATATTGGATTTAAATACCTTATTTTGTTGCATAATTTCTTATAAGTGACACACTTGTGTCCATCATTTTGTCTTGGCCATGTAATTCTAAGTTTCTGTAAGTTATAATACATAAAGCAGGGAAACTTAAATCAGCTTACCTCAATATTCTATTAATCAATAAAATTTTCATATAATAGGATCTGACTTAAAATTTAAAGATTTTATTTGGAACCAATATTAAATTGCAACTTATTTGGAATGGAAAAAAACACACTTGATGCCATCAAAAGTAATCAAATGCTATTTTTGTGATTAGTCAAAGGATTTTTCATAATTCAGTTTAAAGGAGAAAATCTGCCTATTATAATCATTACCTTTGCCAATATGCTAATTTTGGATAAAATAACTCCCATCAATTTAATTTCTAGTATTGACATTCAAATTGAAATTTTATATCAGTAAGTTTTGTTCTTTCACTCTTTGATCACAGATATTTCTGTTAAAGTTGCCAACCCCTAAGTGGAAAAGAAAGCTAAGATCATTTGATAGAGATCTAGAGCCATTGACATTCTAATTTGTTTTGTTTTTCTAAATTAATGTATAAATAAATTTATCAAGGATGCTCTTTAGAGTTGGGATTCTAGAAAAAATAATATCTTTTAAAAAGTTTAAAATAATCCTTTAAAGCAATACTTCTCTGACGGTTAACTTAAAATTGTAATTTAAATTACTTACTGAATTTAGAGAAATAAAATAGAAAATTTCAGGAAATTTATAAGATTTTGTCTTTCTATTTCAGGCTCCTGCTAGTTTGTTGGATGCATTAGAGCAGCACTTGGCTTCACTAGAAGGGAAAAAGGGAGTCGCAACCACCCCGACCAGTACCAGCAAGTAATACATTTTTTAATACAGTAAAATGTTTATATAGTTCCAGACCTGTTTACTCTTACGATTTTGGCGTACAATGCACAATTTTGAGGTGTATAGATTATATATTTATGCTTATTTTTTACTATTAAGATAATGTATTGAACGATTTTGAGATGATGTACAATTTTAAGATTTTGAGGGTAAACAGGTCTGTAGTTCTCATATTTTTTAAACCATATACTTGGGCAGTTCTCACATTTTACGAAACTATACACTTTGATGACTAAAAGTAAAACTGAGTGATGGCAGTCCAAATCTGCTGTTGATTACCTAAGCTATAACAAGCCGCCGACCCATGCATACGTCGCAGAATTGCTCGCTGGCTCAGAGCTTGTTGGGGTATTGGCGAGAGCAATGCGTGAACTTCCCATCTACTAAAGTTACTTGACAAAAACGTGAACTCAAGTTACACACATTTAAGAATGGCAATTTTGCTGCCCCCCCCCCCCATGATATGTCACTGCACACTTTTTATTTCACGCCCTATAGATATAACCTGCCCTAGGCTTAGCATACGCCGCGAGCGTGTTGGGGTGTGCGCATGGCTGGCAAGCGAGGGTGGTGCAGGAGGCGGGGGCGGTAGCTCCACCGCAGTGCGCATGTCTCGAGACCAACGATGGGCAGGGAAGGGAGGGGAGGGTTTGCCTGTGTCTTGCTTGCTGTGGCATATCTATATATAGCCTGCGTCTTCTTGCTTGCCCCATTTTCGGGCGAATTATATATATAAATGTTAAAATCTGAATGGGAAAAAAAGCAATTTCATTTATATGTCTGTCCATATTATTTTCACTACACATTATACACATTAAAAAAAATCTTCTGTCACATCATTTTTGTAAGAAAGGAGAACTGTTCAATATTTTGTTTCGTGCTTTTTTCTTATTTGAGATAGTGCTTGGTTGAAACTGGTAAGAGCTATTTTTTTTAAGATCATTTAAACTGGAATAAGAATAAATCAACTATTTTCTTATGAAATTTTTTTATTTTGCAACTGCAACTGAATCTCACAAAGTAAACCAACTGAGCTATTTTCTTCTGTTTTGCCTTGGCAGACCAGTGGGCTTTGCATCAGCACTGAACACAATGACTAGCAACACATTCAATGTCTCTGAAGCAGAGAGAAAACGTATTTTGGAAGAGGAGAATCAACAGTTACAAAAATTGAAGGTTAGACACCATGGTCACCCTTAATATTTGGTAGTTTATTTTGGTGGTTTAAGTGATATATTTTGCTGCTAATAGGTTTCAATGATCTTTTTTTTTTTGAACAAACTTTTAAATACATATTTTTTATTTTATATTTTCTTATTAATGTGCTCATTTATATATTTTGTATGTTGGTGATGGTGCTTCAGTGTCATTGTTGTTTTGTCTGATTTTCTTTCTGCCACTTAATTTAATTAGATGTCCCAAGGGTACTGAATGAATTAATGAAAAAATGATAATAAAATAATACAAAATAGTTAGGGATGAAGTAGATAAGTGTTATGTAAGAATTCTAAGCTAACATAATAATTTTGTTTTGTATGAAGTGAAGGTTTCCATTCTATTAAATTACCAGTTGAAAAATTTTGCTTATTCAAAACAAGGGTTAAGTAGCAGCTCCAATCACAAAATGGTAAATCTGATACAAAAGATAAATCAATGGTCTTTAAATTTGACATTTGTCAACAAATTGATTGATTATTTAAATTTTTGTGATTCATTTGACAGTGATTACCTGTTACCATCTCAAAGGAGGCCATGTCTTTGTAATTTTATTTTAAAAATTGGTATTAAAAAATGTTTTTGGAATACTCAGGTAAAATAGTTTCTTGAAAATGAAAATCTTTAAATACTAAATGACCTTGATTATAGAATTGTAAAAAAACAAATGTCCCAGATTATAACATTGAGTATAAATTAGTAAAAAAAATATGTCAAAATATAAGTTTGAATATAAATTAGTAAAACAGTCTCAGAGTACTTCATGAATTGTAAAATAGTTGAACAAACAACTTAGAAAACTAAAACACCTTGAGTGACGAATATTTTTAAAAAAAAGTATTTTGGAATTCTGATAGAATTTTAAACAAACGTCTCAGATCACTTAGTCTATTTCAATTTAAAGGAATAAAAAGAGCTGCTGAGCAGATTCTCAAATCCTAATTGTAAAAAATACACATCACAGCTGCTCACAATCTTTTTACAGTGAATTTTTGGCAAATTGAAAGTAAGAGTTGTTTACTTAAAGAAAGCAAAGATGATGTTTATTCTTCAAAGGTCCCCCTGCAATATTGAAATAGTTAATTATTGCTAAATTATAGAATTGTTCACAATCAAGTCTAAGCTAAGTTTTTAAAAGATTTAATTCTAGCTATAATAATGCTTTAAAATTTCTTTTTTGAATATCTATTTAAAATTCAAGTATTATTGGGATATTGCTTTTTTTTTTTTTAAATTAAAAAAATATATTTTGTTGACATCTTTTTTTTAAAAAAAAAGCGTGAAGATTGGATCCTGATGACTATGTAATAAATATTAATATTTCAGCATAATGTGAATTCTATTGTTTGAGATGTTGAATTAAAGAAAAGAACTAAATGAATTGCGATTCAATGTGCTTCTAGTCATTCACAACTGTACTTGCACATTTTATATAACATGTAATGTTTTCATAGATCCTGCCAACCTTTCGATATCTGGTAGGGATGGCCAAATTGTCCTATTGTTAAGAGGAAGTTCATCTAGTGCTTGTTCACATTGCAGAATTAGTGTCACACTTAGGTCTTCTTTTGTTATACTGAACAGTTTAATAATTTATTTTAAAAAACTACTTGAGATTATTTTGAAATGTTACTTTGGCGTGTGTGTTACAAGTACAAAATGCTGTTTGTTTCAGGTAGTTCTGCAACTTAAACCAAACCAGGCATGTCATATTTTTAAAAACTTTTACAGGCTTGAAGTTGTTTTGCCACATTTAAAACATTCTTGTTCCTCAGATCAAAGTTGAATTTTAATATTGCTGTAAAAAAAACTTGTTCAATCACACTTGTTGTATTTGAAATAACTACAAGTTAATTTAACTAGACAACTGGTAAATTCTGGGTGTGTATATCCAAACTGTTTTATTGGCCAGGCTGGAGAGGAACCTCAACCAATAGTTGAGGCTGAAGGCGGAGACACTGACAATATCTTTGTGAGTAATTTCTACCCATTTAAGCAAAAAAAGTCAATTTACATCCACTCCTTGGCAGAGATGATCCCAAACACCCCACCTTTATCCGTCCAGTTGTTTGTCTCATTTGTTCAACAAGCTAAACCATATTCATGAAATTAATTGAACAGTATGGCCAATAACAATTCATTAAAATGATAATATAGAATTCATTATGTCATTTCGATTGATTCCCTAATAACTGGATTATGATAATTTTTAAAATTCTGACAAAAGAGTGCAAGTTTGTGTCAGAAAATGTAAATGCTCTTCAGTAGTTAAAAAAATACTTTTTTTAATTACCCACACCATTTTAGAAAAGTTGAAAATAAGATTTAGCATTGTTTAATTGAAATTCACTGACAAGACTCCCCTGACGTTTATGTACAGATCATCTCTGTATTAGACTAGTGTTGCCATGGAGTTGTCACCTGTAATTGTTAGATAGCTCAATGTCTCATCGATAGGTTGGTAGGCATGATCTTTTACTATTTATTTACATGGAAATTATAGTCCAATTAAACAAATTGTGTATACATAGATTTTGTCTTGTGGAAAGCATGGTTTTTAGCTTTAAAATTTCACTTAAATGAAAAAACAACATCCTCATCCTACATGAATTAAATGTAAATAAATGGAATAAGATTAAATGCTAATGTTATTTTAAGACTTCTTTGGATACATACCCCACCAGTTGTTTGTGTTGGATTTAACGTGATCATTTTGTACGTGATTATTATTTTATTAAATATATTTTAACTCTCTTAATTATACATTTGTATAAATATTGTTCATTAATTGTTTAAGCTCGCCATTATTTATTGAAATATAAATGGAGTATCTAGTGTATTTGGATTTTGTAATAGTCCATAGTTTGTACCTTAAATCTGTTTTTCAATCTAAGAAAGATTATTTAAAATTTACTCATTGGGAACTAAAATACATTCTTCACTAATAAAACAAAATAATTTTTTTTTTAATGCTAGCTTTTTGGTGTAATTATTTATTCAATATTATAATATTCCATCATGAAATAAAGTAAAAACTTTAATGTCTTAAACATTTAGTTTATTGTTACCTTGTTGATGTGAATTACATTATAGTTTTCTTGTCTCCGTTAAATTTGTACATTCTTTTTTATTTTCCTGCTCCCTCTAAACTTAGCAGTTATTGCTGTTAATAAAATTTAAAATGTATTATGTGTAGTGTGTTTAGTATAAGCTCGTTTAGCCAAAGGTAAGATTTTAAGATATTTAAAAAGCAAATAAAACAGCCCCCATTGTTTGATATCTATGAACTTGAAAATCTTGACTACCCTTTCCGATTTGAGACTATTTTTTGGGAGCTGGTATTAAATGGAAGCAGGCATTCATAACACATATAAAAAGTTAATATAGTTTTTCATTATATTGTTAAAGTAAAAATTACGATAATGAATATCTTTTTAGTGTGTAAGAATGTTTCTATTTAATTATCTTTCAAAAATTAACCCAAATATTTTTAGTGTACAAATATATCGCCACCACTCGTGAAATGACAAAAGGTTTCTTATCACTTTTTAATCAAAAGAATGGTGAAAAAAATGATGTCTTAAATAATTGGTAAATGAACTACTGTAGTTATTGTTCTTCTCGAGTCAAAATGAGAAACAATTAAACTTCTTTTTGATTTCAAGGCTCTGTAGTTTCACATTTTTTTTTCCATTCCTAAATATATGAGGCTAAGTCTTTCCTCTGTTGTTGCAAAAAAAAAAAAGAAACAAGCAAATGTGGATTGCATGCTATTTACTTATGTATCTTTTTTTTCCTGTTTGGGGCACTCTTAAGGATTTTAAGTATTCTATCTTGCAAGTCCGTTTATTAATTTTGTGTCTTCCTCTAAGTTCTTTCTTATGGATTTATCAGGTGAAATCCATGGAACAGAAGATTATTCCCCCCAACCTTTTCTGTTTATAAAATTGTTAAAACTTATATCTTCCAAGTTACTTAGTAAAATTTGTTTACATTAGTTTGTAGAACTTCAAGTTGGTCATAAAGTGAATTGAAGTAAAAGAGCTCTAGTAATTTATTGGTTATTCCCATTTTGGTTAAATAACAACTTAACATTTTTTTTTTAAATTCAAAAAGTAATTGTTGACCTTAAGGTAGACTATGTGTTAAATAATTAAGTTCATAAGATTTTTTTTTTGTTTGGTATTTTTCATTATTTAAAAACCAATTCTGATAAAAACATAAAATTTCTGTTTTCACCCCATCCATACACACACACATCCAAAACTCATTTTTATCTTTTAAAAAATCTCTATTTTCCTCTCAATGTTTCAGGAGCAAAAGTTAAAAGAAGCGTCATCGCCACAACAGAAAGCTCCAACTACTACCAACAACCCCTTTTCCTCACCAGCAAACTCAGCTCAGAGTGCCAATCTTTTTGGCTCACCCACAGAGCCAGTGGCTCATTCAAATGTTAGCTCAACCAAACCCAGTGATGACCTGCTCAGTTTGGCAGGTAATCCTTTCATGGACAATGTCCAGAATGTGATGGCCACAGCTTATCCTCAAACAAGCAATCCGTTTGGTTCACCTGGCTTCCAGACCAATGGTAAATAATAAACAACGAACCTCTCATTAATTGCAAAATTTGTCTTACACAGGCAAAACAGTTAACATCCTACTGATAAAAAAATAAGAAGGAATAATAGTGCCCAAAATAAAATAAGGGGGGGGGGGGTGGGCTAGAGAGATTTAGGGCTAAAATTATATACTGTATCAGTTGTCACTATTATCATTTACAAAATCACTAGACTGGTATTATTTACAAAATCACTACACAAAAATGGTATTTACAAAATAACTATCCAGGTAGTATTTAAAAAAGGGGGGGGGGGGGGGTGGGCTAGAGAGATTTAGGGCTAAAATTATATACTGTATCAGTTGTCACTATTATCATTTACAAAATCACTAGACTGGTATTATTTACAAAATCACTACACAAAGATGGTATTTGCAAAATAACTATCCAGGTAGTATTTAAAAAATCACTAGAGGATATTATTTACTATATCACTACACTGGTAGTATTTACCAAATCACTATATATAGGTAGTATTTAAAAATCTCTACACACAGACAGTATTTACCAAATGACTACACATAGGTAGTATTTACAAAATCACTACACATGGGTAGGGTATACAAAATCACTACCCACAGGTAGTATTTACAAAATCTCTACCCACAGATAGTATTTACAAATACATAGACTCATGAAGTATCACTGCATTATTTGTCATAACAATTTATCTCTCAGGTTTTGCAAGCACATCAACAGGCAACGTTTTTACATCAGATGCAGATTTTGCCAAAGCTTTTAGTAATGGAACAAATACACAAGGTCAGTCTGCTATACTCTTTCTGTCGACTCTGTGTTGGTCCTATGTTGTCAGTCCAGTGTTAGGTTCAGTCAAACTTCCATAAAGGGAGGGCATTGGTGAATTTACATTTTTAAAATGTTGTTTGACTAAGCCTGCCAATAATTGTGCCTGTATTAAATATAATCATTCCATTTCTTGTGTTCTTTCAAAAAAATATTGATACTATTGGTGGGAAATTTTGTCATATTTTTTTATCCCACTAGTATCATTTCACTTTTATTTCAAGTTTAGCTTTTTTTATTGTTTGCTTTCATTTTGCCAGTAGATAACTTAAAACAAAAATATTTTTTTTATTTCGCAAACTTTAAAAAAATTAATATTGATGGGGTCATTATTAAAGGTTATTAAAGGCCAGTTCTAGTTTTAGAAAAGAATCCCTATTTTGAGCTTTTTATTTCCAAGAACTCATTGGTCTGTATTTATGTTAACACATTTTTCTTTAGATTTGTTCAACATTGGTTATCAACCAAGTAAAATGCCTTTTAAAAAAAAATCTGTTTCACCTTTTTATATTTTATTTTAATTATGCTAAAATTTTACCTGATTTTCAGTTTGGGATTATTGACAATTAACAGCATGCTATATTTTGGGTTTAATTTGGTTCCTATTTTTCAGCAGTTGCTATGTAATAATACATTCTAATAATGTAGGCATGGTGGGGTATTTTTATAACACCATTTGTTGTATCTGCAAGTCAAAATAAGGCACTCGTCAACTCTTAAACTTAATTTTATGTAAACTGAAAAAATAAAATATTCAAAAATGAATTGACAGCCCTTTACAGCAAGTAAATAAATTGAACACAATATTTCTGCTTTCAATGTTTGCACCGTAAAGTGTTGTCCAAAGCTTCTATAAGCTAACAGTGACCTTATTTTGATATGCCAGGGAATCTGTCTTCAATCCATATGATTTGACTGGGCTAACACTGCACGTTTTTTGCTCTCTTCTATCTTTTGATTCCATGTGTGCATGCTCACTTGATTTGCTCATCTGTACCTTGTTGGTCACACCTCCACCACCCTTGTGTGTGTGGGTGTGTTGTGGGCTGTCACTAACCTCTGGATGATGTTTATTTATGAACAACTGCTGCTGGAACACCCAAAACAGCTGGCTCAGGGTTTAGCATGGGCTCAACTGTGGCACCCCTCTCAACTGCACCCCCAGGTATAAATCATAGTATAAAATATAGATAGAAATAAACTTGATGACATTCTATTTGACACAATAAGCAGGTCAATGATTGTTCTCTATCATTCAAAAGAATTGATATTACAAATAAGTATAAATTTCATATTGATATTATTTAATGACTTAATGACTAAAAAAATTTGTTTGTTAAACTTGCTGATGACTTTTTTAAAACAACTTAATATGACTTGATTTTCTTTCCAGTTACTCTTTTTTTATATAAGTTTTTAAAATGTGTATATATACTTTTATTTCCAAACTGTTTGCTGTTAAACTAACATTCATAACTCTAGTGATCACTAGATATTTATACTTAAAGGATTGAGATGACACATTTTTTATTCTAAATTTGATATAAAAATATATGTTTAATGCTTCCATGTTGTTAACTTACGTTTACGAAACCATTCGTTCTGTTGACATACTTAAATTGATCAATTAATCTCAATACTAATTTTCTCGTTGTGTTGTATGGCTAAAATACTCATGTTTTATTCATGTCCTCTCCTTTCTCCTTCTTTCCCTTGCTACCTTCACCCTTACATTCATGCCACCTCTTGGCCATTTGTAGATCTGGATTTAGTCTCACCCCTTGACCTACTAGATGGATCAGGGTGTCAATCTGTTTCCCCTTCCCCAGGCTTGTCTGACTTTGGCATGGGTCAGTCATCGCCTATCCCACCCTCCCAACCCTTTGGGGGCAACTTTTCTGGACTAGACAGTGAGAGCTTGCATGTGTCCCCTGTCCCCTCCCCAATGAGTGGTTATGGGTTAGGTGGCTCTGTAGGTATGGACACTGTTGGGTTATTTGGAGCTCCATCTCAACCCATAGGACTTGGCATCGGTCATTTGTCTCAAGGAGGCAATTATTTTGGGCAGGCTGCCACAGGTATGTTGGGTCAAGGTGTTAGGGCGGGATCTGGACAGGGCTACTACCAAACCTCAGGTGTTGCAATGCCTGTTGGCATCCCGGGTTCAATGGCACCCCGTCATTCTGTTGGTATCACTGCCCCTGGCAGCCCAAGTTTGGGTGTGGGTGGCTCCCCGGCAAGAATCATGACAAGGGGAGGTAAATCTCCTGCCACCTCACTGTCCTCATCCCCATCTGGACCCGGTTTGGAAGATGCAGTAAAAGCTCTTGGCCTGACCATGTCTCCTGCTAAGGGAGGTAACAAAAGTATGACCAAAAATGAGTCACGTCCCTTGTCGCCAGGTCATCCTACTCTTGGGGCATCAGGCCAGTATAATTCACATGGTAAGGGTGATACTCAGGGGGGCTATGGAGAGCTAGGAGGGTTGGGGGATGTCCCACCTCAAGGTCATAGCGCTCAGGAATACGAGATTGTGCAGTCTGGTCAAGGTATTACTTTTCTTTCTTTGAATGTCTTGTGTTTCCTTTCATTCCTTGATGTTGCATTCTTTATTTTAGCCAGATGAGTAGAAATGGAGCCCCCAACCATTTACCCGATTTTATTCCATTGACCACTTCTATATTTTTGATGATTTTAGTTGGTGTTAAAATAATTAAGAAATGCAATTTATTATGAACCTTAAATTGTGTCTTCCTCGCAGCGCCCTCCCCTTTTCTTTCTTTTTTTCTTTTTCTTTCTTCCCTTCTTAAAAAATAACCTGGATTTATAATGGCTGGGGGACAAAATTGTCCATTTATTAAATGAACTCGAATCAAGAGCTTCTATCTGTTGTTTCATTTTATCACTGTTTTGCCCAATTTTTGTAGTAGTTTTTATTAGTCAAACATTTAGTTTTCTCTATGGTTCATCGGGCCACTTTAAGAATTTTTTTTTACATATTCTTAATGTTTATTATTTCTAAAATTCTTCTTCTTGTAAAGACTTCTTATCAGTATTTACATCCTGTCTTAAAAATAATCCAAATCTCTCATTTATCAAACCATACATCACAATACAAAAATTATAGATTTATCTTAGGAATATTGTTAGAATAGAATGTAAAAGAACTTTTTGTTAAACATTTGGGACCTAATTTATATTTGTGTTTATTTTATCCATCCTTGGCACAGTTATTTTAGTTGCATGACAAAATTTTCATTTGTCATTTCATTTTTTAAATCACTTAAGCCATTTGAATTAGTCCAAGTTAGTTGATGTTACAAATTCCTTGATCCTTAACAGCCCATGAGCTATTTTCAATTCAAAGCTATTCAAAAAGCTTAGCAATAATGGTAAAAATATATATATATATAGTTGTGGCTGCTCAGATGGTGGTGATTTCATTCAGTATTAAATGTATACAAGAAATTAATATACTAAATGGTTAAGGACTTACGAAAGAGTTTAATCAGCAAGGATGTCAAGTTGGAAATACATTACTTTATTTTACATTTTGCCAGTAAATTTTATTTCTTGGTCAGTTTACTAATATTTGATATTAACCACAGTTTAGTTGAGTTACGAAACATAGCATACTTTTTGGGGGTCATCATTTTTTCATCAGAATTGGCTACAGGGGGAATGATTTGATTTGTATATCATTTGGTGGTTGGGTAGATGCCTTGTGGGTGGGTAGATTTTTTAATTAGTTTATTTTTATGTGTAGCATAACTCCATTAATAGATGCATTAATATTGGTTACCGGAAATTAGTTTGAAAGAAATTTCGTCTGCGAAAAATTGATAGAACGGAAATTTGGTCGAAATCTTTTTTTCCGTTCACACGTTAAAATTTTCGTCAAATTTCTTTTTAAATGCACAATATTATATAGTAAAACAAAATGATGCATTCAAAAAGAAATTTGAAGCAAAATTTTAACGTGGGAACTTTAAAAAAAGATTCAACCAAATTTCTGTCGATCAATTTTCCATTGACGAAGTTTCTTTCAAACAAATTTCCGGAAAAGATTAATATTGTGTTCTTGGCTATACTTTTTGTAACATTTTATAGCTATAGATGTAAGTTTAAAACAGTTTTGTTGTAAATTGTATATAATTTCCATTAGTCAAAGTAGAAAATCAAAAATTTCTATGTAAATTTGAAAGGTTTTTACCATCAAAGTAGTTTTTTGTACTGAGGGAATTGAACAAGAACAACCAATTCACACACCAGGATGGAAATGTTGCGAACTGTAGTCACCCACTTCCTTCAAATTCTGATTAAACTTCCTCTAAATTGTTCATATCAAATTGTATCATATTCTTCAGAAGTTATTAAACTTTACAGCAATAGTTATTCAACATTACAGCAATTAATTACTGGAAAACACTCACAGATCTTTAGCAGTTGTTCAATGTTCTTGCTAAAGTAATTAATTTGAATAAATAGCTGGTATGTTGAGTTGGTTAAAGAGTCTCTTTGACTGACTACTCAGCAACTCAGTGTTTTCATTACGCACAATTGCATACAAGAATACTTCTAAAACATGGATTATTTTAACATCACACAGTCTTTAGATTGAGTTGTTTTTTTTTTAAGCATTAGGTTTATTTAAAATAGTTATGGTTTTTAAAAAAAATAGTTTTGCCCACTAGCCCTATCAAAATATGGCAAAAAAAAGGAATCTTTGTTATGAGTTGCCGATCCTTTAAATCCATTTTTCCAAGTTATATTTTATAGAAAAGCTAATGTCAACATAATTAATAACCCTTCTATGTATTTATTTACATAGTTAATAAGACTTTGGGCTTGAGATGTGGGTTCTTTTTACATGCTTTTATTTAGCTTGCGATTTTGTCTCTTTGACAAATCTTGTAACTCGATTTTAAACATGTTCCTTTGGTCCGATGGACTTGAAATTTTGCATGGTCATTCAATCCTGCTGACAATACAACCCTACAAGATCAGTAGGTCACCAGTGTCCTCCACTGACCCTTGAGTGACCTCTGGGGATATCTCAGGAATGGAAAGTTATATGGACTACATTTCCTTAAGCATGGTTACTCATTCCTGATAACAAAGACTAAAAAGTACTAAATAAAATACTTTTTAAACGACATGCTTTATTTCTAAAAAAATTTCCTTAGTAAAAATTATAAAATAAATGCAGACCTGTTTACCCTCAAACTCTTAAAATCGTACAATATCATCACAAAATCAATCAATACATTATCTTAATAGTAAAATAAACATCAGTATATCTATAATGTATACACCTCAAAATCGTACATTGTACGCCAAAATCGTACGAGTAAACAGGTCTGATAAATGTCCCCCAAAACTTCAGAGTTATTACAGTCATAAAAAAACAAAAAACAACATGAGGTGCCCAAGAACTGAGTGTTCTTTGTTGCAGCTCAATTGCTGAAAGTGGGACAAAATTGAGAGGCAAGATTTTACCAAATTCAAAATAACAAAGGGACAGAGCAATCTAAGAAAAGTCACACATCATTATTAAATTTCTTGGGTGCCTCATGCTTTTTTAGTCATATGATGGTAACAACTCTGAAGTTTTGGGTGACATTTATTTTATTCCAAAGTTTATTTTTGTAAAAGCATGTTTTAAAAAAAAAAAGAGTATTTATTTATATTTTTCTTTTAAAGGCTTCAGACCTTATTTTTAAATGAAAGTCTAAATTGGCTCCAGGGCTGGCAATGGGGTGTGCTTTCCCACTGGCTACACTACTGCTTTACGTGATTAAACTTAAAGTCTCATATGATTGCTAAAGTATTAGATGAGAACTGATGTTTTTACCTTTCAAAATATTCTTTGACTTTGACAGTAAGCCTTTCTAATAACTGTTATTATGCTGTTTTAGTGCATGCACTATTATTTTTAAGTAACATATTTCTCATTCCTCAGTCTGTTTGAAGTTGTTTTTTTAAAAATTTTTATAGTTAAATATTAATATAAATATTTATGTTTTACTTAAAGCCAAGAAAATATTTTATTCAAGTTAACATTTTAAGACAAAGTATTACAATTTTTTAAAATCAGTGAGTGGCCAATCCAAATCTTATTACTGATAAGATTTATCTTAATTTGAACTGATTTACAAGTGAGACACTTCTTATTTATTAATTAAGCATTTATTTAGAATCCTTTCGATGCTTCAATTCTTTTTTTTTTCTTCAATTTGAAATGAGGTGTTTGTGTATACTTAACATCTGCTATATTGTATAGGGTTTGATGCATTTGGAGATGTGCTACAGCCGATGAACAAATCTTCACCGTCCCAAACACCACAACCCTCACAGCAAGCAAAGCCAATAGGCAAGGACCTAGACACTTCTTTAGCTTCTTTAGCATCAAACCTAAATGTTCGTGGGGGAGCCACATCTAGTAAAAAGTAAGTGTTTCTTGATGAGTAGTTACTTTTGATAAAATGCTAATTATCCTACATTGATTCCATGTTGCAAAAAAAAAAAAAACTTACTTTATAAAAGTTATTTGGCATGATTAAGTCATAAGGGTTGCGTCATGATCTTCTAAATTAAAAAAATTATTTTAAATCGACCTTAAGAATTTTTGTGTGATTACACCTTGCATATTTTCATATACATATTCTTTCAAGTTTTAATGAATTGGATAAATTCCATCATTTTGTTAAGGCACTACTCATGCTGATATACTTCCCGAATTGGGTTATACACACAAACGAATTGTAGTTGGGTAGATGATTTGGCTACATAACATAGTTTTAGTGGAGTTAAGTATTACTGATCAACCGGACAAAAATGCTGACAAACATCCCTTAATAGATTTTAATTAAAATGTTGCTATTGATATTTGGAAATTATAAAAATTTGTGAACATTTTTTTTTCTCTTTCTAACCCAATCAGAGATCACCAGTGGCAACCAAAAGGAGAAAGTAAATTGACAGGAGGTAATGCATTCCAACGACAACCAGTTGCCTCATCCACAACAACACCATGGGGACAGCAACCTGTATTCCAAACACCTATGGTGCAGGTACGAAGAGATCATCAGCTGTTGTTTTTATAATTGATCACTGTAAATGTGTTCTATAATAATTTTCTTTTTGGTCTGAAAGGTTAGTGAGAAATGTGTACATTTTAAACATTACTAAATTGTAATTTACATTGTGACCGCATCGGCTGTCAATCCCATTAAAAATACGTAATGAGATTAAGCACTGTTCTTTTGTATGTAAATAATTACAGTACAGTATTAACAATATTGTAAATAATTACAGAACAGACATTCAAATTTGTAATAATTTAAATAAAATTTTTAAAAATGTATTCAAATATTTTTAAAACGAAATCTCAAAATTTTGAATGTTTGTTGGCTAATGAGGCACCTTTTATCAATAAAAATATATTCTTTCCTATTTTCCAAATTGGTATGGTGTAATTAAAATTGATGTTCAAACAGAAAATATGTGGCTTTCAATAAATAATGACTAAAGCTTTATGTTTTATCTTTTTTTTTTACTGGTAAATTTAAGATTGCTGAATTATTAGAATTCTGTTTTAATGGAGAGTTTTTAAAATATTTTTGATGTAGGCTGAAAGAAAAAACTAATAATAGAAATAGTTTTATACAATAAGAGAAAAAAAGTTTAACATATAATTGATACGATTCTGTTAAAACAAAAGCTTGCCACATGAATGTCATAAATCTTTACCTTTTCTTTATTCCAGATGGGAACACCAGGAGCACCTATGATGTATGCCCCACCTATGGGGGCACCCATGGCCCAACCAATGATGGTAAGACATCTCCTTCTATTTCAGGGATGTGCTCTGATAAATCTTACTGTAATATATTTCACAACAGCCACATAAATATCAAATAAAATTGCACATAAAATGTTTCGCATGAAATTCAATGATATTTTTTCTTTAAATTCTAAAGTTGAAATTGAAAACTCAGTAAAAAAAATGAGCTGGAATAATTTTTAAATTATTAAATAATTTTCTTAAACATAAGCCCTGTTTTTCTCATGCTGAAATGATATCATTGGCATGACATTTGTTGGCCAAGAGTTACCATCCTTAATGTTGCATATCAAACACTTGTCACATTTAGAACTAATGGTTAGAAATCCATCAATTCTGTAATTTAAGTTACAGGACAATCATATTTTTTTTAGATTGATATATAGGATGTTATAAAAAATTCACCATGATTTTTACAGATGGGCCAACCAATGGGCATGGGAATGGGCATTCCACCAACCATGGGTATGGGAGCCCCAGCCATGTATGGTGTTCAAAGAATGCCAATAATGGGCGGCTACCAGCCCCCACGACCAGCTCAGCCACAGAGTGGCCAAACAAACAATGTGAATGATCCATTTGGGGCTTTATGAGACCAAGGTGAGTATTAGGGGCATTATGAGACCAGGTTGAGTATTGGGGTCATTATAACACAAGGTTTAGTATTGTGGTACATAATATTTTAACAGATAATATCTCATATGCTAATATTAGTTCATATTGTTTGAAATTAATTTGAATCAGATGATTATTTTTATTCTGATTAATATTCAGAGCAAGTATTTTATTCTGTTAAAGTCTTGATAGTGATCAAAGGTATTCATAAGACACAACACATTCTCGATATAAATATTGGTATTGGTAATTTAAAATATGAATGTCTCAGTTAATCCCTGCCATCTAAGGTAAAAGAGAAGAGAAAAGCTAATTAAGGTTAAAACAAAATTAAGCGGAGTGGCCAAATTTTATTATTATAAAAAGTCCAGCGTGCTTGTTCAAATGGTTGTGATAAAATAAACAATTAACAATGGTTATTTGTGTAGTAAACAATTGCACATTTTTCTCTCCCCTCCACAGACTTGTTATGACTGATATATGAAGACAGCAGAAAGAGCATGGCAGAGCCAACCCCCACAGAACACAGGATGTTAATGTGTCTTACTGCACGGTTGTTGCTGATTTGGCTTGTTCAAAACATTACCATTGGACTATCTTACGGGTAGCGTGCATTTTTTATCATTGGATTGTTCAAGTCATGAAGATGAAGCCACTGTCAATTAGATTTGTTGTAGGTTGTTTGGCCACGTGTCCTAGTGAGTGAATCAACAAACAGTCGGAAAATAGTGAGAGACCACTATAAAATCACACATGTCCCTCTATTTAAAATACAAACATAAGCCACTATATTGCAACATTTGTTTTTAGAGGGTTCTGACAGCCTGCACCTAGCTGCTACAAGACTGCATCTAGGCAATAAATGACACAGACACAACTGGTCCCACTAGTTTTCTTGTTGGTATTCGCTTCTGTTGTCTGGCACTACCAATAAATAATGAAGCCTGCTTTTGACTTTGTTTTATTTATCTATTATTACATTTTAATAAATCTATTATTACACTTCAATATTGGCTGCTAAGTTTTGCTTTTTAAAGAGAAAAAGTATTATTATTATAATTATTTTTTCTGGCAATTAAGAAATATTATTTAATGGCTTGTACTTAATTCATAGGGTAAGAATTATAATTTTTTGTTACAGTCATTTAAATAATCCCAAAAGAAATGCCAAGAATGTTTTTGAGTAAATGATGTTAAATGAGTTGGATGATTTGTCATTCAGATTGGACTACTGGCTAGTCCCAGATGTTACTAATGGCATTTTAGAAATTCCTAAAATGTTGATTCATTTCTGGTTACCAGAGTTGTCTTGTTTTTATTATGTATTTAGCTAAGTTTGAGGGGACTTGTGAGTTCTGTTTATTGCCTGTCCAACATTCCCATGTTGCAGCTGGGTTGGGTTTGATATCATTGGGACACCTTAAGCTAGCACATAATCAAGGTCTTTTTTATAGTAATGAAATAGTAACTATCAACCAATAATTTAAGAAATATAAAGAAACATTATTTAGTAACAGCAAATTGGAAAAAGAATTAGAGAGTAATAGAATTGTTTCTGGCCTAATCTAGACCTACAGCTTATTTTGCTCGGCTTCCAGTTGTGTGGATGGTTTCATGAAACCAGTTTTACTTGCAATCAATCAGCTTGTTTGACACACCTTGACTCCTGTTCTTTGTGCAATGTATGATGGGAAGACCTAAGACTGGTTAGCCTTACAATCTCCTACACTTGAAACATTTGATGTGCTGGATTTCTCACTAGAGTTAGTGTGCTGGATTTCTCACCAGAGTTGTAGTGTATACTTATGAGATTAGTTAGTTTGTAGGGGCATGAGGCTCATTTCATCTTCTACTTTTATTTGTTATATGATAATGAAATGTTTGTTCCGACAGTTCAAGGACAGCAATAAATTTCTATTGAAAAGATCATATTTTTGTTTTTTGTAGAATCAAAAATGTGCAATTTTAAAATTTAACCTGTGTTAGAAGAAATAAAATCTCTTTAAAAAATCACCTACAATTATTGAAACTGCACAACTGGTATGTTAATTTTAAAATATTATCTGGGAAAATCTATTTGTTTATTGGCCAGTTTCATGGCTTGGGTAGCCAACACCATCTTTGTATCATCTTGTTTGGTGACAATGCCATTTAATTTATCAGATGATGTATTGAATCATTTGGAGGTGATATTTCCCCTGCCCATTTATTTAGTGATGATACTGGGCCTTATATTTATATAAAAGAATAGACTCCGTCTCATCATGTTTCCCAGTATTCCTCTTCCCATGCTTGATGATGAAATAAAAACCCCAACAAAAACTAATGCACTCCCAGCTATAATCAGCACAGCTGAGACTGGCAATGTGACAAGTATATGTCTATAAAATGATAGCCCCAATTAGTAGAATGGTAGGAATTTATGTCATGAGTATTAATTATTATTTAACATAATTTGTTCTCGTCTAGGGTGTGCTTCAGAGAGCAAATATGTGCACATTTAGAGGGCCCTTGACTAAGAGTAATTTTTTGAACAAAATGCTTTCATTGTTGTGGCTGGTGGGGTTGATCTATTCCAAGTTAAAATGTGTCCCCATTTTAAGGCTACTTCTTCCTCTATTCAAATTAAACTTACAACTTGAAGGACCCAACTGGATATCTGAACACTTTCTGAAATCATTGCATATATATATTTTTTGGTCATGCTCATTATTATTAATGCAAAATGTAATGTTAACATCCCCATAATACACTCTAAACAGCTTTTTTAAAAATTGCCATATATGGAAGAGCTCCATTAATTATTTTTTTAATGAGTTTTTATGTTTCTTTGTCATGTATTGTATGGAAAAGACAAAGGCAACTTGGGTTTGGACGTACACATTTATTATAACTATACATCCATCATTACTCGGCAACTCTCTTTTGTATTAACATGCCATGTGTTGTATTTAAGTATTCTCTATCCTCTGTTTTTGATATTTCTGATTACTCATGTTTTAGCTGTTAACGTATGTTATTTATTTCATAAAGATCAAAAACAGACCATTTTACACAACTTCTGATGATTTGTATAAAACATGTATCAGAATACATTTATGTTATATAAAACAAAAAACAACCAAACATCATGCCTGTTTCACTTGTTTGTTTTTTTTGGTTGGTATGTTTAACTTACTTTGCTTTTCTTTTTATTATTCATTTTCATTTCTTAAAAACATGTTGGGTTGAACCAGAGTATGTAAAGAGATTGTGGGCTATCAAGTGCAAGTGTTTTCTGTGATATTCTCCGTGGCTTTGTCTGTACTGTTGATGGCATTACCAGGGTCGGGCAAGAGCTTCCCTCTCGGCTCACGCATCAGACACAAGCTTAATGGAGATGAGGTTAAATATATCTCTTAGTTGTTCATGAAGTTTGTAACCAGCCTGCTTGTATATTAATCCAATGTTTAAGTAATGTAATACTCTCTGTGGTACCTAGGTTGTCATGTGATTAAATTTGATATATTAGTACACATTGGGGATTGTATGCAATAAGCTGAACATCTCATCAGCAATATTTACACTTTCAATGTTTGAATCAGTGGAGATTTATACAGCTTAGTTATTGTGGCCATGTCTCTGTTGGAATAATCTTGTTTACTTTTGAACAGATCATGTGACTCGGGTCTGTGTGATCATGTGAGCTACTGCATTAGCTATTTTGTAAATGCTCTCTTTGCAGTTTTGATAAGTTTATGTATATAAATACACAATTTTTCTGCATCAACACTAGAACCCATTTGTTTTTAAGTTAGTTTCCAACTGTCCCCACATCTGCTGTAGAATACCCTGGCTTATTATTTCATGTTTTTTTTTTTCTATCATGTATTAATTAAGCAGCCATGTTTCTAGAATAACGTTTACCATAATTCTACTTGTATGATTCACCATGTGTAGGCAATGAAGATGGTGGCCTACACACATGAGTTATCACAAACATCTGCTCATTGTTATTGACTGTTCTTATCATAGTTAGTTTATAATAGTCTTAACACTTCAATGCTACCATGTTGGGGTTAGAGGGAATGTGATGTATGTTGTGACCTAGCTGAATTTGGTAGTTCTAATTGTCTTTTCTTTAATAAATGTTTATCAAACAAGAAGGATAAAATTTACCATGTTCACAAATAAATTAGCTCTGCAGATTCGCTCTCACAAAAGACAATCTAGGAAATGTCTTTTGGTGGGCCTAAAGTTTGAGAAACAAGGCTACATAGTCAATTTATATGTATGTGATAGACTAAGATCTTAGTATGTTAACACATGTGTAGAGCAATATTTGCAAACCATTTCATTGCTTGGTGATCAGCATCATTTTAGTTGTTGCAATATTTAATATTAGTGAGAAAGTGAGTCATCAAGAATATATTTTCACCAACCATTAATGTGTAACATATCATTGACAGATACAGAGTTAGTAAAACTGAATAACACCAATCTTTATTGACCTTGTGCTAATGCAATCAGATACAAGAAAAAAACAGTTAAATTGGCCATAGAGGAGTTTACAAAACTTCACCAATAAGACTAGGGCCTCAACTGTTTATACATTTGCTGATCTTATTAGACTATTGTCAAATCAATCTGAGCTTAAAGGTGGGAAAAGAAAACTATAGTTTTGTTTGTTTGCAATTTTTGGTCTAGAAATAATTTTAATTGATAAGATATAAATGCAATGGATAGGGGATGGGGTGGCTAGGAGGCTACACATTATATTCTACCACAATTAATAATTGCTATTGAAATATTCTTTAAAATGTTGAAATTGAAGTAGATGTATCATAAATCAGTGGATTTGTTTATAAATTAGTATTTCATACAGATGGGGTTAGGATCATAACTTTTGGGGTCCTGGGTTTCATGACCATATTACTTGTGGCTTAATTCTATATGGGATAATGCTTTAATTTAACGGTTACTTCTACAACAATGAAACCACTGATTTACACAAGACTTTGAAAATGTTGATGTCTATCTTTGACTGCATTAGGAAAATCAAGTCAATTGTTTCTACTCACCAAGTCCAAGTCTTAATTTCATGCATTAATTGAATGTCTGGTGATTACTAGTTTATAACATTTAAATGGTTACAAGGTATAGCAATCCTCCATGGAGGAGAGTGTGCTATGCATACCAGAAAGTTCTGTACATAATTTGTGTGTGCTGTCACGCATCGGTATATTGTATCAGTGTTGTATCACATATTATTAATAGCTGATTTATTATCAATTTATCATTTCTATTTTATTTGTATAGATTTCAAAACTGGAATAAAGTCATACGCAATTTTCTCAATTCTTTGCTTTTTAAAGTATTTAATGAGACACGCATGGTAAGAATTAACTGTTAATACATCAATTGTATCGCTATTATTTATTAATGAATCTAATACCTGATTCCAAGCCAATGACACATCAGCCTTATATTTTGTCGTTTACCTAAAGATAAGAGCTTAAACTTAATGCCTAGCAAATGGAACAAACAGAAAGTTGTCAGAAATGATTAAAATAGAAATAATTTTTTTATCATTACAGCCCACCAGATTATTTTTCTCATACTTGATACCCTAATTACTAATAGCCGAAGGAAAAGGACCCCAACAAGTTTTTATTAATTTTTAATTTTTTTATTCAGTTGGGTGGAAAAAATTGAAGAAGTCTTTTTAGTTGTCTTTATTTGATGACTTCCAAAAGTTATAGTTTTCCATGTAGGTTAATCCATTTTAATGCTTTTAACTAGGTGGCAATAAAGATAAAATTAATGATTGTGTATTAAAGACATACACAAATAAAAAGTTTAACTCATTTGTTTTTTGGAAAACTATGCAAATTATTATGTAAAAGTAAATGTAAATTTGGAAAACCAATAAGGGTTAGGCCTACAAAGACTGGAATGAACACTTTTTTTGGGCTCCATCTATTGAGCTTAAATTGAAGATAAAATATTTTAATTTTTTGTTCCAAATAAATGGAAAATTTTTTTTTTCATTTATGGTACATAATATTTTCAGTCTTGAAAATACTCAGTTTTAATGAATACTTAATGACACTCTGATATACAGTTAGCTAATCAAATATAGTTATCAAAATTGAAGGGGGTGCGCTCCCTCTATACAATAAAAAAAAAACAGAATATACCCATTGTTGGGAACACTTTAACAGGGCATGTACACAATAAGTCATTTACAGGATTGGGTACAACTGTAGAAAGGCAATTCTGAGGCATAAGTACCTTGAAAGAGAATATGTAATAGACAGCTTAAATAATGAAGAATGATTAGAGTTCAAAACTTCTCTAAAAGCCCATACTACCTAATTCCATTGATGTAATGAAAATTTCAAAAAATTCCACCAGTTTTCAATCTTGCACTGCAAGAACTAGTGGTTGTAGCTGTAGGTCTGCTGACTTCGGCATTTGCACATCGGTGAAATATCCAAATGGCTGCTCCATAAAATGTTCATCTCCCATAAATTGTTGTTGCTGCTGCAACTGGTCCTCAAAGTAAGCCCTCCTCTCTTCAGCCTCTGCTCTTAGCCTTGCCATGTGCGTTGGGAACGGGTTTGTGTTGATGATTTTGTCAGCAAATTCTTCGGGGTCAATGAATGAGGTTTTCGGGATCTCAACTGGCGGTTTACCAAATGGTGGCTTCTCCAAAAATGTTCTCCTCCTGGGAATCTGGAGCTCCTGCTCAACAAGCTTTAAAAACAAAAGTTAAAGCTAATTTAAAATTCAAGAGGGAAAGCAAGATAATCTGTTTGACACTTTTTCCTCATTTTTACCTACTACCTGCTGTTAATCTGTTTCAAAAATAAACAGAGATTTCAACAGTCAAGTGACAACATTTATTTAATTAATTATCACTTCATTTTGTTTTTTAAAACACTGACAGTAGATAATTGTGGACTAGTTAAAACCAAGCATTTCCCTTTAAACCTAGTTTGCTCCTAAAGACTTACTTATGTTTCATTCATTTTGAACTGGTACAAAAAAATTAAATTAGATTGACTATGTAAATGCTTCTTATCCTAGTTAATAAGTTAACATTGTCATTATTTTCCATTACCTTTGGGTCAAATCCTGATTGGGCCCATGCACTGAAGTCAATGAGGGACTTTGTGTTGATTCCCAGCATTCGATTCCTGTCAACGTTCAAAGCAAATATTATTTTTGGAAACAGGATTATTGAATAAATTTGTCAATTTGGTCTGCTATTGTGACTAAAGCATAATATAATCCATCACTTTCTTTATGGTGTACCATAAATAAAGGTAGAAGCTAGATTGCATCATAAATTTAAAAAAAAAAACATCACATTGAACAGATTTTAGATCTATCCTAAGCAGTTAACATAGAGACAGTGTCATATTTTTTTTGAACATTTTTTTCCTAAGAAAAATTAATATGGAAAACATAACTAAATTAGTCCATGCCAACAGATAATATTACTTCACTAATGAATTTTCGGAAATAGTAAAAGCAAAGGTATATGTGGTCAGGAGTTGAAATGATCAAAGTAAAAATATAAATCTCAAAATGCAGAATCACATTTAAAAGAATTTTAAATTCATGAATATTTGTGACTGATTATGTAATGTATAGAAACATTAGTAACCCAAGATATGTGATAATTAAACCTGTCCTAAAATAAAATAATTCAAGTAACAAACAAATGTAGCCAGTGTTGTAGTCCTAACTTAACAGAGTGTATAAAAAACAAGGTCCAAAATATATTTACCCAATAAGGCATAGTAGAATTCATATTGCATTCTGGGTATAAACAACAAAACACTTAACATACACTTTTACTTTTAGAATGAAAATCATGTGTAATACAGCGTTCAGTGGCTATCTTATGTCCAAAGTGACATCTGAGGCCAATGTATGTGTTTTCATACAGTCAGGTAAAAGTGGACAACTCTCCTGTACAACTTGTAAATGAATGAAATAGCGAAACGAGGTATGTGGAAGCTTGAAATAAGATAACAGGACAAAAAACAAGGACGTTTCGGCATAAAGCCTTCCTCAGTCAACAATAGAAATGAAAATATAACAAAGAAAAGAGCACAGTAGACAACTCAAGCAGAATTCATTCGTGTCTCCGGCTTTTTGTACAACTTGTAGCAAGTATTGTTTTTGTTTCTCCTCCCTAGTTAAAATGCTGTTATTCTCCTGCATGAGAGCCACACCTATCTCTGCGTTTTCATTAACCACTCTCAATGTTTTAAAAATCTCACTAGTTTTTTTATAATCATCTCTGAGATTCCATGTCTCAGGATCAGATTCTAGATCGCTCATTGGGATGTTCAAATGGGTGAAGAAATTGATAGTGATTTTTGGTAACAAACTGTTCTATTTCATTATAAAAATTGATTTATTGGAATTAAGCTAAATAACCTTTGAAGTTTCACCCATTCCTTCACTTTCATATACTTAAATATACTTTAAAATAAATTAACATTGCCCTCTTTAACTCCAATGACAGAGATTTGTAAGTAAAAAATAAAAAAAAAATAAAAAAAGCCAAATCCACAAGCTCTTAACTGAGATACCTTTTAAAGGTGCAGCATTTACCTTTTCATATTCACTATGTTTTTGAAGGAACTTTAGATCATTATTCGGAATAGAAATGCATAAAGGGGCAGTAAACCATGCCTTGATAATTAATTTATAGACCCTAATAATACGATTTTTTTCTTGAAATCCTTTATCCTCTCCTGCAGTGAGTTTGAAATGCTTATGGAACACCCATACTTTAAAAGTGTATAATGCTGGAGCCACCGATCTTGCATGATAAAGAGCTCCAGGGGTCATAAAGTGCACTTCGCATGAAATAGTTTCTCCAACAAACGTAATAGATAATTTGAGAAATTCCTTGTAATTATCTCTGGTTTGCATAGCTTTGAAGTTTCCATATTGCAGATTCCATGAAACTATCCACCTAGTCATCTTTTAAACTGCACAAAACTATTTCATTAGTAGCACCACTTTGATACTGTAACAGGATTTATCAATTTTGCTCTATGATTGCTTCCAGAGATGAAATACTGGTACATCAGGGCCAGAATTTGCAGTTCCGATTCTCTCACCGAAGACACCTGCCAGGACAATTTCTTAAATATTGCGGCAGCAAGCCAAGTAGAGAAGGTCCTTTTCCAACTTTTATTCTAAAAATATGCAGACTCCACTCTTATGACCTGTGTTGCTTGAAGTTGTATCAAAGCACATTCATTATCTTTATCCTTGGTCCCCCACTCTTCCTATAATTGAGCAACAGCAAACGCTTGGGACGCTCCACTTCTGAATTGCAACTTGAGAAGCTTATTTATTCCCACATCTGAAACAATGACCGGTACTCGGTAGTCGATAAGAATATTAAGAAAATGAAACAAACTGTCAATGTTGCAGGCTGCAACAATACATATTCATCCAAAGTTACTGTGGTGCCCGGTATGGCGATACATCCTGAATGAGTTAATATGATGAACCAAGCAAATACAGAAATAATTTTATTGTGCAATATTAACATGAAAAAACTTGCACACTATGCATATTGTGCCAATAAAAACCACAATTTTTCATTTAAGTTAAGACCTTTTTTCACTCATTTTAGCGTAACAGCATATAGACGATAATAACCAAATTTAACTTACCTGTGCTACCTTTAAATATGATTGAATTTGACTGAAAATTTGCAGGAATTACTTTCTTGTGTAATACAACAAACTATGAGGGTCAGACCATACAATTATAAAACTTAGCTAAATTGGTCCACAGTAATATAAAAGTTAGTAAGTAATAAAATACACGAATCAATCCTTGTGATTTGGACTATTTATGATCACAGTCACAGATAACAACTTTTAGTAGAATTTGAATTTAAGGTAAACATTTTCAGCGATCCTTCTTTGGAAATAATATATCTATACTTTGATAAAATGATTAAGTTAGTTGACTATTGCAATTGAAATACCAGTATGGTATACTTTTATACTTATATATATGTCTAACAAAGAAGGTGATTTGATGCATAACAGTGATCATGCACTAGTAGATGATGAAATCATGCAAACATGTCCAATACATGTAATGAAAGTTTACCTTCAGCATGTTTAAAGTTAGCTGTGTTAACCTCTTTTTTCTTAAATCTAGAGCCAAAGATGGGAGGTAGCATGTTTCTTACAAAATTTAAAAATGAATTAAAATTAGAATTAATTACAACATTTTTAATAAAGGCCTAATAAGAACTCTGTAATAGAAAAATTTGATACCTAAAAATATGATACAATAAAAATAATTCTCAACACAAAAAAAAAAAAAAAAAAATAAAATAAATAAAAAAAACCTTCAACTAATCAAAATAATAGAAAAATTTGAAACCAAAAAAAAAGAAAAAATAAAAATAATTCCCAAAAAAAAAAAAAAAAAAAGAAAATAAAATGCATTAAAAGAACCTTCAACTGATCCAGCATTGCTCTCCCTGTGTGAGGGTACAGAAAATTCTCACTTATTTTTTTTTAAAAATAGAAAAATTAATGGATGCCTGATAAAAAATTGCTATTTATCCATTAGTATAATTAGTTCTAAAAAGCTTAAACATTTTTTTAACAACGAAAACTAAAGCTGGTCTCAAAGTCAAGATTTTACCTTTTACTTGATGGTGGTGGACCTTTTACTTGAAGGTGGAAGTTATATTAATAAAAATTCCTGCCACATTTTCATTTCTTTTGTAACTATTGTATGATAACAAAATTTTACTTCTGCATCAACCAACTAAGAATAAAATATAACCAATGCTTAAGTACAGTAGTTCCAAACCTGTGATATGTGTACCTGGGGGTACATGACAGACAGAATGGGGATACCGGTATGCAAAAATTATATCAACAATTGTGGAAAAATGGCAGGAAAGTTTTTTTACACCCGTCCATTAATGAGGAGCTATATTTCAAATGTGGGAGTGGGGGTGTGTCATAAATAAAAAGTCTAATCAAGGGGTATGGGAAAAAAATAAACCATTCCGAATCAGCAGATATGAGAACATTAATTGATTAGACTAGCTCACCTGCTTCTCATGCGAGATTCACTTTCAATATTGGTTAGAGGCATTTGGAGCCATTTGCGGCTATCTACACCATGTCGGCCCAGGGGAATAAGTGGAAGTGGTGGAAGTTTAACCTTCAGAACACATTACAAAAAAGAGTTTTTTAAGATAAGTCTTACTATTTTTTCTGTACAATGTAACCATAGTAAATATTATTTAAGTACTTTTTTATAATTAGATTAGCTATCAAGAGTTATGACTAAACAGGATATGTTAAAATATTACTTAACTTAATAAAACATACACTGTGTTGAAAAAATATTGAAGTCTTACTGTTTCTACATCTTTATCAGAGTATTTATAGCCTGTTGAACATTGTAAAATGGTGCGCTCTTCCTCTGCACGCTTCCGACTTAAAGTTAGGAGAGGATCTTTAAGAACCTCTGTTGTAATCTAGGGTACATGAGAACATTTTTAAAATAATTATTAAATGCATCTTTGATCTGAATCACATCAGAATAAAAGCCTCTAATAGCATTAAATATTCATCTAACTATATTAATGGAAAAAAATTGAATGTCCTTTAATTTGATTTGCATTTCAATTATTTAAAAAATTATCCTTGTATTGGAAAATAATTTGCTTTTAGCATTTAACATTGGTATTAATTACACCTTTATTTTCTTTATGTTTACATTTAATTAATGGGATTTGATACAAAATAAATAATATTTTAATTTACCTTTATTGGTGCTGGACGATGGTCATTTAAAGCCTGCCCATAGTATTGTTCTCTATCATCATCCTCTAGAAACACATAGCCCTAAAGACAAGTCAATAAGTTAGATCAATATGCAAGCTTGTTGAATTTTAAATCTTTAAGGTTCTTGTTCATATAAAACTTTGAGAAAATTTGAACTATTTTATGTATAGTTAGAGCATAGGGATGTTAAAATAAAGATTTTTTATAATAGCTTAATATTTGATCACTGTAAAATATGGATTAAATAATATTTTTGGCTTAGGAAAAAAATTATACTAATCAAATTTGAAATTCAAGACCTTAAAAATGAAATCAAAGGTTATAATTTTAAAATGAAATTATTCAGACTTGCATTACTGCAGGCATATAAAAGATTTATTTACGAACTCTTTTATTGACATGTTCCAAAAACTGTCTGTGCATTTCACGTTTACGACGGTCAAGATGCAGCCAATCAGAACCATCAACGGCTTCGACAATCTTTTTTCTTATAGGTTCAAACACTTGCTCTGACCATTTTAAATAAAGCAGTTCTTTCCTTCGAAGGTCAACAAGTTCTTTGTGGGTCAGAAGGTCATCCAGTTTCTGAGTGATCAAAACTTTTTGTTAAAATTTGAAGAAATATATTTCATAAGAGTAAGAGGTTTTAAATAATTATATTTCATCTTCACTGGCTGAAAGTAGCTAACATCTAAGGACTTGAGGTTGGAGGTAGTGAAGAAAACAATGGTGGTTAATCTTGAACATTCCAACAATAATATAGTCTGAAACATAAGCATCAAAATTGTATTTACTAAAGATGTGAACACACACCAAGTTTGAAATTGAGAGCAAATAACAAAGAAAGCAATGTTAATTTTTTTCATTTCAAGGATTTAATCTTGGTTAATCTGATATGAGGAAGTCATTGATTAAAGTTTTAATCTATTATAATTACTAATAGACATCAACTTGATGATTTATGTTCACAAAACAAATGTAGTGATATGCGGACAGGGACGAGTTGTTGAAGGGAATAAAGAGAATTTTTTTTAATAACATTTATGATATACCGGTCTAATGCATTTACCATGCTATTTAATTTCCATAACCTGTTTATATTAATATGTGGGCTTACTTTACTTTGTAATTTACTATGACAGTACCAGTAACTTAATAATTTTAAAAAATGAAATGTTAGATACTGTAATCACCTTGACAAAAGTTTGCTCTGTTTCCAAGAGTGATGAATACAATTTTTTTGCAGAAAGAGTTTCCTGATCTGTTCTTTCCTGGAAAGATGTTATTTTTATTTTATTTATGCATTATAGTAAATTATGCAATCTCATGTTCATTTTACTTCCATTTCTGGCCATTCAAAAACTTCTTTTTTTATCCCTCACTCCACTGGAAATCTACTCCAATCTATATAATTTATAATCATTATTTCAACATTTTAAACTTAAGGTAAACTGAAGTTTAAAGGCTATTATTAAAATAAACAAAACATAAACATTTATTTCCAATAGTTAATACTGGTAGTAATTAAAAGCAATTAATATTCTAATACTTTTAAAAACATAATGAGAATAGTGTGCCTGATCTGCTGCTTTCAAGTTATCAAGGCTGGATTCTAAATTTGTCGGCAACATCCTTATATTTCCTCAATAATCTGTTTACAGACAGTTTGTTAAACCAAAAATGTATGATGACACTGAATTTAATTAAAAAAATTATTAAAAATATTATAACCACAACCAAAAATCTTCTATACAACACTGGGAATTAATTAGTAGGTTGAGACAAGCCTCCTGCAAATATGGGGATTTATTTACAAGATTTAATATTACATTACACATTTAAAAAAAAATTAAATTTGTATTTGTAATTTATAATACTTTGATTAGTAAGTACCATGTTAAATTGGAATTTATTAACTCTTCTTTTCTTATAAGGAATCTTCTTTTTTTAAAAATAATACACACCTGAGCCAGAATTAATATCATATTTAAAAGACATCTTTTGAGGGCTAAAATATCATACTTGAGCAAGTGATCAAATATTTTCTAAGTATTCTGGTGAATTATTTCTTTAATAAATTATCATAATCAGATTTACAAATATGTTAGAAAATATAATAAAATTTAATGTTTTATTACTATTTCAGTTTTATAAATTAAAAAAAAATTAATAATTTAGAGTTAATTTACTCCTTGGAGCATTTATAATATGGTTGTCCAAACCCATTTTCCTTGGAACTTGCTGGAAAGCTGTTTCATTAGGGGTTAGATCCTACACTTTTCTATCACCATTAAATCATTGTAAAAAATTCAATAATTCTGCCCTAGTTCTGTTTAAAAATCAAATACAAAAATACTTTGGTGTCCTGTTTTAGAAACCAAGTAATGGTATTTAGCTACTTCAGTTACAAACACATTTCAAGTGATGCAATCACTATGGTTCATTCAACTGAAAAAATATTTCAGGACCTTTCTTGTTACACTTTTTTTGCCTTCTTTGCACACTTACTGAACTTCAAACAAAAATTAATTAACTTAAAAATAAATACATATTGTTTCTTCTGCCTCTAGGGTATCTCTAGCACTCCCAGTGAAGTAATATTGCCCATTTGAGAAATACCTGCATAACCCTTTTCTATTTACCTGTAAATAATACAAATAGGTAAACAATATTGATTTTGTACTAAATGGGAATACAGTTAATTTATAATATTTTTTAAAATCATGTGTTTAAGAACTACAAATCTTACACTTAAAGCAGACACATTTTCTGCTTTATTTTGACTCACATAATCATAAATCAAATGTATTGACCATTACCTGCAGCTCTTTAATTGTCTCTTTATCCAACCAGTTCTGTGCATTTGCTGATTTGTTAAGGGGAAGTTTAGTTACACTAATTGTTGATGGTGTTTTGGGAAGTGATGAAATAACTGAATCAGACATTTTGGTTGGTTGCTTTGATTTCTGAAATTTAAAAGATTACATTATGGTTAGTAGGCCCTATCTAATTTAAATGTAATTATTTTTATTTATTTCAAATTAGGGCCTACATTTTAATAATTGTATTTTCTGAGCAGTTGACTGAGTTTTTACCTAAACCAGTATTTGACACTCTTAAATCTACTGCTTAATTAATGGTAAAAACACTGTATAATATAAAATATAGGCCTATTAAACATGATTTTGATAAAATAAATAAAATTACCCCTATATTCACATACTAACTTGTTTTCACCTATGCCTATTTCAGTATGTAAAATTTCATGCCAAGTATTATCTAAGCATTTACTTTTATTAATTTCACATTGAATCACACACTTCAGTTTTAACTTTCAGTTTCAGTTAATAATGCTTCTAATACTTCTAATTTTAATATACTAAATTGACTCCCCTTTTCTAATTAGAAGACTTAAGAAATGTCCAGCCCATATATATACTGAATTATTCCTGCTATTAGGCTAATACAAATAATATTTCATCAGATACCTGTAATTCAAACTCAGACTTTGCTTTTTGACTATCAAGTATAACATGGTCAACAACATCCTTGTCGTGAATGGTAAGTTTTCCTGATTGTTTCTTAGTTGTGAGTTCCATTTCCATAGGTTACGTTAATTTTTACAAGTAGAATTTTTCTGGGCAACTCAACTTTCTTGCAAAATAAAGCACAACATAATACTTGTTTACTAATAGCTAAATTGGTAGCTTTAATTTTTATCACATGAAAACATCAGCCATTTTTAAATAAAACAATTCACTTAGAGACGGGGTTGTTCATTAATTAAGATGAACTGAGGGATTTTTATTAAAATTTAAATGAATGATTTATTTTATTTAAAAATATCAATTTGACAATTTCAAATAAAAATATTTTAACTAAATACGCCAACCCATTCTAAATATGTTGGTTTATGGTCAATTTTAAAATTATATATTTTTTAAAAAAATGTTCATATATATAAAAGACAACACAGAAGTATAATTATTTTTTCAAATAATAAATGATCCCATTTTACCAAATGTGTTGTTGTTTTTTTTGTCTGCGGGGAAATAATTTCAACGAAAATAAAATCTTTAATTTATTTAGGATGATCTTGCTTGAAAAAAAAAATCATTGTAAATTAGTTAATTAATATTAAAGCATTAAATGATCATGACGCTCACTCAATGAACTTTAAAAAAATTAAATTCTAAGACTATTACTGCGAATATATTAGCCTAAATGACAATAAATAAAACTGAAACTTTTTAAAACAATAACAACAAACTAAAAGAGAAGTAAAATTCAATAACGCAACTTGGTAGTCAACGAAAAGTAAATCAAATATTATTATAGGCGTCGCGTTATGGGTATGTACGTTGTTAAGTTCTGCTGTCAATAGGGAGAAATAAATCTTTTTTTTTTTTTTTTTTTTAAAGTCTATGGCTCGTTCAAAACAGTGAATAACAAAAGACGATACCATATGCCCATGCCATATGCCATATGGTATATGGGCATGGGAGATACAATAGACAATAGCAAAAGAAATACGACACTCAAAACAGTTCTAACTACAATTAATAAAATTTATTAAGTTACCAATAAATTACAAAATAAAAGAAATATAATTAAAATCATTAACTTACATTGTTTTTTCTTATTTGGTTTTTACAATTATATTAAAATCACTTCCTTTCTACTCCTCTTTCCTTTGTTTTTGTCTGGTTTTAGCGCCCTCTCCTATTTTTTTTATGTTTTAGGTAGGATATGTATATTTATATTATGTAAATTTAATTTATACTTATTTAAATGTGTTTTGTTTATTTGTACTGATGAAGGCATGTGCCGAAACGTTTACTTGTGTATAATGTATAATGATTATTAAAGCGTAACTTTTATTGTTATATTGACACAATTGGTTCGTGTCTTATTAAAGTATATTGTTTTGCTTGTACCGGTACACAGTTGATAATAATACAATGTGCGAAGGTACAAAGATGAATAGGAATTCACACATATAAGTAAAAATAAAAATAAAAAACTCTAGAAAGATTACCCCACTCTAAAAATAACTATCGCCTGTCGGCCCTTAAAGTAAAAATATCTCGTGATAAATGCTAGCCTCTGCTTATCTGTCCTTAAACCCCTCGGCTTTATATATCGGTATAGCCTGTTTCTCTATAATATTCTAGAAATGAACGCATTGTACTCACTTCCGGCTGCTTGTAAAATTTTCTACAATGTTTGAATCATGAAAAATACCATGGCTTTGTTAATAATTTCCGAGGTCAACTAATATTAGCGCAGTGCAGTCAAATTGGGCCAGACAGAGTTCACAGCATGGGGAAATATGAAGTAAACACGTCGTCTACATAACAACGTAATGAGCTACCGCCTGAAGGCATATCTTGATGAAAGTTGATGAGAAGCCTACATCTACCTCCGACTTACTGCCTAACATGAGTGAGAAAAGAAATCCCAAGCATTTTAGAAATAGGCTTTGTATGGAAATAAGAAAAATGATTGGCTTTGTTTGCTTATTTGAAAATAAGTATCTTTACACTTTAATTAAAAAAAAAAAAATCAGTAATAAAAAAGTAAATATGAAATTGTCATTGGGTTCTTCCTGCTCATTGTCACATAAGCTTTATCCGATAATGCGCTTTTCAACTACCAATTTTAATTGAAATATAAGCAACCAAATCGTGAATAGTGTGCACTTAGCAAAACAAAGCAGTCTCTTTTGTTCAACATGCCAATAATTTCTCTCTGATCAGCAAAGTGGCCGAACTATTTAAATTGTAACAACGGCGAAACGGAGAACAAAAACAAGTAATGAAAAAAATTCAGATTATCAATAGTCTAAGCTTATTCATTGTTGTGAATTGGAAGATCGATTGAGGATTGAGCAATCTATTCAGTGAAGTTATTATGACGAAAAATAATTTTAAAGAGTTTTTTTTCTTCTATTTTTAGTCTTTGTGGGGCTTTTATTGCGAATGCTGACATGAAATCCCCACATTGGACATCTTCTCAGATTTTTAAACGGTGTAACCAGATGCTTCAACAATTCTGCCCAAGAAATGAGCTATCCCGAATTCTTTGATACCGGTAAATGAACAGCTAAGGTTAGTGTCACCAGGAATTAGCCAATAATTTGCTCTCGCCCCACCCCACCCCCCAAAAAATGTTTCCTAAAAAAATATGTTATTATTAAAAAATGCCACCCCTTCACAAATTATAGATTTAAAAAAAGTCCCATCCGACGCGGACCTCCACCCCACACTTCCTACGCTACTGAATGTGAACTGAAATCGTTTGGGGATGTGGAATATATGTGACAAAAAATCCTGTGTCCATGTATGGCAGCAATGCCAGTCTGAATGATCATTTCTTGCGATTGGCGACAGATATGTCTCTGTACACTGACATACGGCACGGTACTACCGGTATGCCAAGGACTATTGATACTGCCACTGCAAACAAAACGAATTTAATGTAATAAAGACAAAGACCACTGATAATAACATTGATCTGTTGTTTATGTTACAAAGTTTGCTCGTTATATTTAATAATATTATTACTTTAAAAGCAGACATCTGAAAAGGCTGCCACCGTTGACCCAACAGGTTTACAACTCTGTTGGTCGCCATAGCGACTAGTAAATAAACAAACAAGGGAACCTCCGAATTTTATCATCGAGTCCATTGCTCTTGTTTATCATTGTAGTAGACCTACTCTAGTACTCTTATCAAATTGAGAGCTATTTTAACTGTCCTAAATACGGATTATCTCCAATCATTTGTCTTTACCACACAAGTCGAAAACAACCACCATAATAGGCTTTAATAGGTAATTAATGACAGTTCAGTAGTCGTAGTAATTAAGTTATTAAGTTCTTAAACTTAAATGATTTTGCCATATTACTTTTTATTTTTGTTTCAGAAGGGTCGGTAGGCTTAACTAGAGACTATAAGTCAGTAGTCACAGTATTTAGTAGCACTCTAACTCTAGCAGAGTAGATTTTTTAGCACCACTGTTACCCACCCCCCTTTCATCTTTGTGCCCAGTTCCCACAGTCCTTTACCACTTACCTTTTGACTTTTTTGGTAGTGGGTCAAAGCTAACTGCTAGTTAAAAAAATTATCTAATAAAATAAGTGGAGTTGACTGTGATAGTTAGTGATAGATAGGGATAAAGACTAAAGTAAAGGCTAAATCTTAAACTTTACTTAGTGCTAAGGTGTTTAAGTCTAAGGCGAAGGAGGTAAAGCAGATAAAAAATCACAGGGTAAAGCTTTGGACCAATTAAATTGATTAAAATAGCATAAATATAAGTTACAGCTGCATGACTTCATCAGTTAAAATGTATGCCATCAGTGGGCCTGTAATACAGTCTACAGCATAATTAAAGTTTAAAATTAAAGGCTATTACTACTAGTGTTATACTGTATTAATAAACTATAATTAATTAAACTGTTATTGTTACTATATTGTAATAATAAATCACAGTCTGAAAATTATTGTTTGTTCAGCTTTATAAAAATACCTGTATTTATGACATTTAAAATGACTGAAAAATTCTAATAATAATACAAAATTATTTTCTTCTGTTGATTTGTGAAACATCTGATTCATTTTATACAATTTTGATTTCACTTTCCTTAAAATCTTACTTTTTTTTTTTTGCCATATCAAATCCCTCTCCCCTCCCCCCATTTTAAATAAGGCTATTTCTTTGTGCTCTTATCCATATAGCAATAACATCCAACCACACCCTTGATCTTTTTTTTATAGCATTATTTTAATGATTATTGTGTTGTTGTTTTTTTAATGTCATTTCAAAACAATATGGTATTGTAACTGTAAGCTTATTTAAATGGTTCATGTTATATTTAAAAAATATTTCTGCTGTTTCTCCAGACTCTGTCTTTTCTTATTTTTTGGGTCATAATTGTTTTATTTACTCTAAATATGATTGCTATGGTATCTAATTTTAGCTTACTGATTTTTGTGTTGAGAGTAATGAATATCAAATGAGTGATATTTATTTGAAGAAAAATGCTGTTTAAAACTAAAAATATTTGGATGACACATGCCACCCTCTTCATCTCATACAGCTAAGATCAGCTCGATCAGGGCGAATTCTTTCCCTTATAAGTTAGCAGAGAAAGATATAAAATTCCTTTTTTTTCCAATCTGTCACTTAGTGAGTTCTTTTTTTTTGTTTGTTGTAAATCTTTTTTTACATAATGGCTGATTATTACGCTAAAGAACTACTTTAGATGTCTTGTATTTAAATTGTTTAATTGTAAAATGTTGTCTTGTTTAAAATATTTATTTATTTGTTCGCTGAAAATGACAATGTAATAAAAAAAACATTCCCATTTTTTTTTATAAATAAAAGAATCTTATCTTATCTTATAACACTGTTTTTTTGTTACATTACCCCCCAATATTCAAATGATAATAAACCAGCTTCATTCCCAGAAACAACTACTTTTACTCAGCATTACCCATGTCAGCTTTGACCCGAATGTCCAAGATATAGTTTAAATAAAACTTTCAAACAACGTAAACATTATTTTATATAGCAAATGAGGCCATTAAAAATCCTAAGTTCTAAATAATTCTAAAATATGCATTCAGTTATGCACATAGCAGGAAATTCGCTCTCATAACACAACTTGAAGAAATTATGAATAGACGTTCTGAGACAGGCAATAAAATCTGGCTTGCTAGGCTGCCAGATCAACAAACATTTTTCAACAAGAATTTTTATAGGCCCTATTGATCATGTTACTTGCGTATAATTGTATCTGCTATGTTATATTACCCCTCTCTCCACCTTTTATTTTGTGCTCTGACCCTTTTTAATAAATAAAATAATATATTAAATTTGGATTTTGAGCTATTGGGTTTGTGGTTTGAATTTCTTATCCTTATACAACCTTTAATAGAGAGCAAAGTTTGTGCTATTTGGCAGGTTCTGGTACCTGTTGATTTCACACCTGTCTTATACAGAGTGGAGTCACTATCAGCCAATTTCTCCTAGTAAGGGTGGTTTTCATGAGTCATTTTCTTACGTAGGACAGGTGTTAACTTAATTAATGGGCTACTATATATTTTAGACATATGCCTACACACCTATTTATTGGATAACAGTCCAACTCAGGGCCGGATTAAGACGAAGTTAGGCCTGATGCTGAAGTGCAAAAAAAAACCCACTTTTTTCTTAGCAGTGGTGCATGTGCATTCAACACTTAATGTAAATGTGCACTCAGAATGACCAAGGAACCTTAAGTGCTTGTAACACAACCAGCCAACCTTTATTGAACATGAATAATAATAATGACATATTATCGTAACAACTCAAGATTAACATCAAGCCATGTAACATCAAACAATGTAACATCAAACTATGTAACATCAAACTAAGTAACATCAAGCTATGTAACATCAACCTATGTAACAGTAAACTATGTAACATCAAGCTATTTAAAATCAAGCTATGAAACATCACACTATGTAACATCAAGCTATGTAACATAAAGCTATGTAACATCAAGTTATGTAACATCAAGCTATGTAACATCAAGCTATGTAACATCAAGCTATGTAACATCAAGCTATGTAACATCAAGTTATTTAACATCAATCTATGTAACATCAAGTTATGTAACATCAAGTTATGTAACATCACCCTATGTAAAATCAAGTTATGTAACATCAAGCTATGTAACATTAATTTATGTAACATCAAGCTATGTAACATCAAGCTATGTAACATTAAAGGGAGTAACATCAAGCTATGTAACATTAAACTATGCAACATCAGGCTATGTAACATAAAACTATGTAACATCAAGCTATGTAACATTAAACTATGCAACATCAGGTTATGTAACATAAAACTATGTAACATCAAGCTATGTAACATTAAACTATGCAACATCAGGTTATGTAACATAAAACTATGTAACATCAGGTTATGTAACATAAAACTATGTAACATCAGGTTATGTAACATTAAACTATGTAACATCAGGTTATGTAACATAAAACTATGTAACATCAGGTTATGTAACATAAAACTATGTAACATCAGGTTATGTAACATAAAACTATGTAACATCAGGTTATGTAACATAAAACTCTGTAACATCAAGCTATGTAACATTAAACTATGCAACATCAGGTTATGTAACATAAAACTATGTAACATCAGGTTATGTAACATAAAACTATGTAACATCAAGCTATGTAACATCAG